TTGATGGCAAGTTGAGTATGAGTCAAGAGTGTGCCCTGGCAGCCAAAAGGGCTGACCGTGTCCTGGAGTGCATCGAGCATAGCACAGCTAGCCAGTCAAGGGAGGTGATTGTCCCACTCTACATCACGCTGGTGCAGCCACATCTCGAGTACTTGTGCAGTTTTGGGTGCCTCGATATAAGAGGCAATATAATATCAAACTATTAGTGTGTGTCCAGAGGGCGACCAAAATGGTGAAAGGCCTTGAGGGCAAGACTAGGAGGAGCGGCTGAGGTCACTTGGCTTGTTCAGCTTGGAGAAGAGAAGGCTGAGGGGTGACATCGCAGTCTACAACTTCCGCAAGGGGGGCAGTGGAAGGGGAGGTGCTGATCTCCTCTCTCTGGTGACCAGCGATAGGACACAAGGAAATGGAATGAACCTGCATCAGGGGAAGTACTTATGGGACACTAGGAAAAGGTTCTTCACTGAGGAGGTGGTTGGTCTCTGGAACAGGCTCCCCAGGGACGTGGTCACGGCACCGAGCCTGTCAGAGTTCAGGGAGAGTCTGGACTGTGCTCTTAGTCATATTATTTGGTTTTAGGTAGTCCTGCAAGGAGCAGGGAGTTGGACTCAACAATCCTTATGGGTCCCTTCCAACTTCAGATATTCTACGATTCTATGAAAGATGAAAATCTGTTTGGTCAAAACCAAATTAATACTTTACACAAAACTTGCAGCTGTCGTGTCATGAAAAAACATTACAATCCCAACAGTCACATTTGATGCAAGCATATCTGTATAAAGGAATTTCCATTGCAAAGTAAACCACTGAAGGAATTAGAATTGGTCTAGTACCAAAGCATCTCAAAAAGGCACTTACTTATAAAATAAAGACCATTTTCTGCAAAGTCAAAATACTTCATGTCAGACCTAAGGAATTAGCTTTTTCAACACTTTGAAGATGACATTCGGACTGCTTATTTCACTTTTAATGGTACAAAACTACAGTATTTGCTTCAATTCGCCTTCAGCTCTGGATAACGCTATCATAAATCACCATCTAATAATGTTAATTCATTAACTTCTTTTTCTGACCTTTTAAAGTAACTGTTTTTGAACATCTCACATCCTCTGTTTTCAGAAGCACAGCCAGGTAACAGGGACAACAGCAGTATACTTACTATTCCTTAGTTTCTAACTCCACCACCACCTCATTTCAGAGCTAGATGACTGTGAGGATACCAAGCAACTTTCCCAACACCGCGCAGAAAGTCTGCAGGAGATCATCCAAACTGAACTGAGAAGCTCCTACCTTAACAACTGACTCATCTTTCCATCAACAAACTGGAGGGATACTCATGACTATAGTTCAGCATTTATTCAAAGCTTCAGCCTAGCATTCTTAGAAATTCATGTTGCAGTTGTAAAATTACAGGCAGATCTGACAATGGCCCCTACAGCTAAGGTTGCCTAGCACTTCATGAGGCCTGCTTTCAGCCGCTCAAAACTTTGCCAGATTTTAACTGCATGAACTGAAAATTGTGACACTAACTCTCTACTTCAATCTAATTTTTATCAGTTCACTATGGAAAACTGTGGAAGAAGCACAACTTGCAGAAAGTAAGGGCGCATAAAAATGCGTTGCATAGGGAGAAATGTGAAGTTCTTATAAGTTTCATAGATGGTATTCTATCAACTTAATGCTTTAGAGCAGAAATGTGATGGCTAGAAATAAACGAGTATGTCCACCCTGCCTACTCCAAGTCTGTAACTACAGACTTGGAAAAAAAAACAAAGCCAAAACCAAATCAAACTTCACTTTCAGGAACTAAGAGTAGAAATCAAAGTTCCAAAGCCCTGAAACTCTTCTGCTGTCACCACATACCTCTGAAACCCACTGGCTGATCACCCCACACGCTATCCTATGGCTGCCCTCCATACCTAGAAAAACCATCTGGTTTCTGCCAGCACCATCAGTCACGTCATTAACTCTGAGTTGTGTTGTTAAACCTAAATATTTAAAATCTGATAACCCTGGGGGAGAGAAAGGGGGGAAGTGAGGAGGGAAACTAAAATTCCACTAAAACAATCCTTGCATTTTTACTTCCAGAAAATTTCATATTAGACATATATGTCAAAAGAATGTGCACAAAGTTATACAGCCACAGGCTCACCAGTCAGGAACTACGAAATGCAGGTGATAACTGTTCATTTGTACCATCCTATCCAAGAACAGGGTCTCGTATTACTTCTCCTCCCTCCCAGTGCCACTAAACTGTGCAGATGCTGCTGTTCTGAGCAGGAATCAGAGCTGCTGTGCTTTCTGCTCTACACCCTTCCACGTGCCACAACTAATCAAACAAAAGGTCACTTTGTGGAGAAGACGTAAGTGACCTCAGGGAACTGGATTCTCTCCTCACTGTTGTCACAGAAATCCCTGTGCAACGCTGGGCAATTATTTAATCCTAGTTCTCCTAGAAATGACCACTTCCTATTTCTCATCTTCTCAGTGAGAAATTGAGATTGACTCACAGAAGCATTAGACATTTCCTACTGCAAATGAAGTCAGTCAGTTATGTTCTGAATATATTAAGAACTATAAAAATGCAAAATCAAATCCTGGAATTAGAAATGTAGTTATCACGAATTAGAGTCTCTTTTAAAACTCATTTAGTCAATGATCACTAAGTGTTTTCTTCATGCTCTTTGAAATGTGGTGTGAAATTGTGGTACCTCGTCTGGGAAGACAGGACTTCCCCTACAAGCAATCTGGGATCTGGGTGTTGTATTTTTAATTCCAATCCCAGGCAGTCATGCTGAAATCAAGCAGTAGTCAGAGAAACTAGCTGGCTGCAAGAAGCTGTACTTTAAACCCACTGCCACCGATAGCCATCTGAATCAAACCTCTGACATGACTTCAAAATCTCCCAGTTATCTCAAAGCATCTTCAGGAGTAGCACAAAATGCAGCAATGCTTTACTTGCTTCTATATAAAGATGCAACAGTAGCAAAGATGTAAGAATAACTAATAGTCTTCTCCAATTTAATGGAAAAAAATTTAGCAGCTTCCAGACATGAATGTCTCTAGAGACCATGCTGCAGTGAGTCATTAATACACCAATTCACAATTGTACTTTGGCTGCAAATGCAGGAAGAGTCCCTAAATTCTTAGGTAGAGAATACTGAAGCCAAACTAGGAGTTTACAATCACATCCCAAATAAATGAGGAAAGAGAATTTAAAATATTAACTTTAAACACTTTAAAGATGATCCCCGGGGACAAACAGCAGATGAAGCATCAGGTTTCTATCATTAACAGTCCCTAGCCTAACACCCCCTTGGATCAGTATGACTCAGAGATTGCAATGGCAATTAAACAATTGGAGAGACATTTTTACTTAAACAGACAGGAGTTAAGCCTCTAAGAAAGAATACCACAGCTGCAGCTGTTGTCTGGCAATAAATGAATGGCTGTGGGGTTTATTCCATTTGTTTCATAGTGGATCATTTACCCCAAACAGATTTCTGGGTAATACAGCAGTAACATTTACATTCCTTGTAAGAAAACCCTTCAGATATTTAAACAACTGCAGCAGTTATTTTAATCCTGCTTCCTGTTGACAGAACTTTCAGAAAACTATCCACATTTTTAAATAAAAGGCCCAATTATACAGCACATGAACATTTAAAACTTATTGCAACATATTTGTGGAAACATTTTAGTATTTGTTTCAACAGCAGCTTCAAGGGAAAAAAATAAAAACAAACCCCAAATCCCCCAAACTGCTGCATGAACAAGTTTGCCACGGCTGCTGTTCCCACGGAAGCAGAGCCTCCTGGAAAGTTGTAGAACCACATAATCATAGTGGAAACATTTAGCAAAAACTTTAAATCATCTCCCATAATCAAGACAGCGTACAGCGTGTTTTACCAGGAAACGGGAGAAAGAGTTGGGAGATGAAAAGATCTCACACATACTTACTGGGCCCTGGAGACCTCCATCCTCTCGGTCAATGCTGCTTCTGGAGAGCCGCACATCAGGTTTCTAAAACAAAAATTAAAAATTTCATTCGGCGATCTGCTTACCAATTCACGCGACCCAGGCTTAAAATACTTCTAAAGACGGGAAAATATTGTTAAAAATTTCCACTGACAAATACAGATGTCATTTCATTCTATATACCCCTGCTGCTGCGACTACGCGCTTCTGCAACTGGAGCTACTGAAACTCCTGGCAGCCTTCTTGACTGCTTCTCAACCACCCATTCTCAGCACATGTGTAAAAATGCTTATTATAAATATTGATAGTACCATTTCCCTAATACAACATTGGAAAACCTGCATTTTAGTTTTCTCAAAGGCAGCAAAAGCTGGGTTTGTTTTTTAAAATTGTTTGCTTCCCAACAGCAAAATCTCAGCCACGGGATGCGAAATGCTGCTCAGTAATTCTTGCTTCCTGCCCGACGACGGCTTATATGTACTTGGCTCCCTCGCCAGGCCTGCAAATGGGGCCAATTACTGGAGCTCTTTAAACACTGCATTTGGATACAGAAAGCTAATAAAGACATCCAGATGCACTATTCTCCTGATACAAGCAACAAATGAATTTCTATTTTATATGTTATAAGCGACATCTAAGAACCAGGGGCTCCGTTGCTTTAAAAAGTAAAAATAAGACCACACCAATTTTTTTCACACAGAAACCAGTCATTTTTCTCATCTCCCCAGCAAATCCGGGTACATTATTCTTTGAGGACATTAATTACATGGAAAGACAAAGAGTGGATGTGAAGCAAAGGTTAACACTGATCCAAAGATACAAGTTCAGCAAAATGAGAGTGCATTTCTAGTGCACTAAGTCTGGCACATAAAAACAAAGAGAATTTATCTGACTGTTCAATTCACTCTCCTACGAGATGAGGAGTTAATGAAAATGGATAAAATGCATATCTACATCAGTGTAAATACAACTTCCTTCACATGTCTGTATGTATATATACATAAAACGGACACAACACAGCATGATAATGAAAATTTTTTATTTCGAGAAATGTAGGCTGTGAATACTGACTGCAACTAACCACACGTTCTTTCAGGGTCAGTTTCGGGGGACAAATATATCCATTTCTTGTTTAAAGCTGTTCCAGATCCTTTTTTTCTTTCTTTCTAAAAGCACTAAAGAATAATTCAAACTCACAAATCCTGCTAACTGACCTTAAAAAGCCAGCAGGATAGATGGAACTTGCAAAGATACACTATTATTGATCTTTTATCATTAAAAATATTCCAGTTGTGCTGGTAGTGTGTCAGAAGGGCTTATACTTTGGATTTTCATTCAGTCTGCTGCAGACTGAGGCACAGCCTGAGACAGTCGCTGCCTGAAAGAACTTGCAGATTAAAAATAGACAAATCATACTAGGCAGGGAAATATTTAACCCCATCTTAAACACGAAGAACAGAAGCAGACACAAGCAAGCAATTTCCCCATGCTTCTCTAGGAATTTGTGACAAATCTTATGATGAAACCTACCATTGATGAGTCTCCAGTTTATTTCCTTTATTATGATGAAGGATTTTTTCCAATTAGAGTCTCACTTGATATGGGTATCTTAGATACATTAGATACTTAAGGTCATCATTCTCATATTTTTTAAACTAAAGCAAGTAACTATCCTTGTTTATCTAGGCATATGACTAAATACATTTCTATTACGCTGATCCTCACAATTTGCCTTTGTTTCATGTTTGTTTCTAGCCAGGGAAGTGCCCAAAGTCTTTGGATGTAGTCAAAGACTTTTATCACAGGGATCTTTAATGCTCTTTGCACTTTTTAACAATTTATTATTCCAGAAATGCACCGTAAACCAGACTCTAAAGATAATGAAATATTGAGCACTTTAAAAGATTCAGAAGCACAAAAATATACAGTAACCTAACCAACAGTTTTTTTTCTAGTAGTATAAGAAGAAAGTTAAATTAACAGACATAATAATATCTCCTCCCCTCCTTGTCTTACTCACAAGGTTCTCCCTTTCAGCATCTAAACTCTCCAAGTGCCCAATTCTACAACCTCATGTCACAGCAACAATTCAATTACCCAAGTCACCACCAGCAGCAAACGTGCAGCATGAGTGGCCTTCAGGACATCATGTACATGAACAGTATAAAACCACCTAGCTTCAGTCTAAATTACATTATTAACTTGACAAACATTTGCTTCACGCATTGCCAATAAAAATATCAAGTCCTGTTGGCTATTTCCATGCAAGCAAAGCCATGGAAGACAGTGGTGTTACCCAGGCATCTCCAAGAACCTGATCTGAAAACGAAGATATCAAGTGCCAACGGGTACCACCAAACCAGAGGGTGAAACCAGAGGGTCCAGGAGCAGTCTGTACAGCTACACAACCCAGCTGCATCTCAGCAATCTGCATAATTACTTCTTAGAAATAAGGAATGAAAATCTTTAGTAGTACATGAACGCAAGCCCTTTCAACTCCAAACATTTTCCTCCTTCTGCCCCATCAAAACTTGGATGGTTGGGAACACAAGGAACAACAGAGAAATACTCAACACGCTTTTGTGTCCAATGACTAAGAAGCCCAATTATATTTCTAGTGACTTGACTGCGTTCCAATAAATTCTAACAACTCCCATTTTAGTAAATGATATTGTGATTTATTCATCATTTGTGTAGCTGTGGAAATTTAAAAAACCAAACTATTTTACAGTAAAGGTGATATTTAAGATCAAACTCCTACTGTGTTTTAAGATATTATTTAGCATCAATTCTTGTGTTTCTACAGCGGTAAAAGCTTTAATTCACTCGTCGGAGCACGACTCTCTTGAGAGTGTACATACAACAGGGAGATGAGTTGGAGGGGGGAAACCCTCAAGACATCCACTTGGTTGTGAAGCCCCCAAGCTGAACATAGCTAGTAAGACTGTACATCTGCAAAGGCCCTGCTTAACACTCCTGTGCAGAGCAAGAATGTTTCAGAAAACGAAGCCTTCGGGAAACTGGAGATTTCAGCTTTACCTGGAAAAGCTGCCACATGTGAGTATATTTTTCAAGCCTCGAAGCTAAACAGTGACTGACTGTGATGACAAGTCATCTTCTGATGTGTTTCATACCCATAGTATGATGGGACCTCTCAAGCACACAAACTATAGTGCTCTGAACTTTTTTTTTTGAACGCACCAACTGTACTAAACTAAAATGCAAGTTTAAGCTAAGTCTTTTCCACTTATTATATTAATTACAGATATATATTTCAGGGAGGAACTATATTTTATCAAATATTTGTCTTGCAGAAAATCAACACCCTTGAAAAGTAAATGTTTTTTTTTTTTTCTAATAGTCTACTATCTAAAATCTTTGGAAATGTCATGAGGACTTCTCAGACAGGATGCATATGTTGACAAACTGGAACATAATCTACTTTATTTCCAGTATGGTCACTCACTAATAAAAGAACATGTAAGTCTCGGCATTCGCAGGACATGCCAAATGGCAATGTCTTGGTGGGATTTTCTCAGGCTAAAATTTAAAGTCTTATTTTAGCAACAGGTCACATCAATTATATTTGAATTGCAATTCTCAGTGTCAAAATAGGACAAAACCACAACTATGTGGGAATTTCAGAAAAAAACAAACCCAAACATGATAAGAAAGCTATGCGAGTTATTTCTTCTTAACCTATCACGGGAAAGGACTATAAATTTCTTAGCAGAACACTGCTCTGTCTGCTAAGGAGTTATGAAAAGGCTTGCACATATATATCTTTATTTTATATGATTAAAAACAACACCACATACCATCAATACAGCCACAAAAGAAAGGTTCAAACCAGAAACTAAATATAAATGAGGAAGCAGATGATTAAACAGGCCCAAAAGAAGAAAAGCATTCTGCAAAACGTTCAGAGATAGTTAGTGACAGTGCCAAAAGTTACACCATAAAAGTCACTAACTTCACTACACTACTGAACTTAAAAGGTCACCTTGAAAAGACAGAATGACACAGTTGCTTTCCCACAACTTCTGTGAAGCAAACTAACTAGCTACCAGTTCAGCAGGCTCTCTCATGGCATCATCACCACCACTGGTTTCCTATCTGTGGTTACAGGTGATTCTCCTCTTGGGTCAAACTCCGTATTAAAATACAGAAGGTACTCTCTCTCCTAGAAGCAATTAAAAAAAAAAAAAATTAAATATCAGGATCGTTTTTGGCAATTCCAAACTTCTGCCAAAACCCACAAATAGAGCATCCTCAGGGGGCCTTTAAAAATTATTTTAAGTCAATGAATTAACTGATTTGTGTTTAAATTAATTCTACACACGAGAAGTCAGGGCTGGAAGATTGAACATACACATAGTGTGGCCCTACTGGAGTAATTTGATCCTTATGGGCTGATTTTCTGTGTGCACAAATACCGTAAAGGAAAGCCAGCATGTTGGCCATAAGTGCAAGTATCGCAGCATGCTTGCCAGACTGCAGGGTAACAGGCCAAATCTTTTAGTTACAGTGAGCTGCAAGTGCCAGCAGCAGAGAAGCCAATTGCAATTGTGGAGCACAGCTTTTGGAGACAGAGGTTGTTCATTTAGCTTCTCCATGCTATGCACTATGTACGAGTAACATCTTGATTAATCTCCTTTACTCTTCAGTTTTTATACAACAGATTTATTTTCATCCAGAAGCTTCCCATGAAGAGAGATATGTTTGTCTTCTCTTTTTACAGCAGAATTTCAGAATTTGGGTTTCTGTTAAGGCTGCAGCTTGCAAACAAAATTTCTATCTCCTTTCAAGTATTGATTGGTCACATGTTCTCAAAGGACCAGTTTCAGGCAAACTGCTTACACAGGTAACCTCTCCAAAGACTTGCAAATTTCCATTTCAATGCCACTGAAATTTAATTCTTCATCTAGGGTGTCTCTTCTAGCACACACAGCATCAGTGCTGTTAATACTTGTACTAACATGCTTTGAGTTATATTTTTTTCCCCTGTAGAAGCAGCAATAAATTTAAAGTCTTGAGCAAGTTGGTATTACTCTGGGGAAACAGAAACCCTGCTGAGGATTTTTCTTCTTATTGCAGTGTCCTACATTAAATGATTTGCAGTTCTTCTCCTGTGAGCCCAATTCTCAATAGTAGAAGTGAGATATACTCTAGGAGTCTGAAGATTGTGTAAATAGAGCTGCTTTTGAAAGTATCCAGTTTAAACTGAGAACACTACACTGTATGGTTTCATAAGTTAAAAATTAAAACCTGGCTCTACTCTCTCTATTGTTCTCTGTGCTCAAAAGCAAAAATATTCCTCTGAAACCTGCCTATAGAAAGCAAGGCAGAGCCAGACTTGAGCAAACCATTTTATCAAAAATTAAAGATTAGTGTAGAAAGGTGTCTCAAAGCAAGTGAGAAACATGACATCAATTTTGAGAAAGTTGCTTCTCCTCCCTAAATCATCTGGAGTAAAATTAGGGAAGGCCTTTCTCCCCAAAGAAATGCCATTAGTCACTCACTAGAGGACATGGGCCAAGGAGCGTATGTGTGTAATATATGGATTATTTCTACACTGGACCCATGTTTGGACTCTCATGTACAAATTGTGGATATCTTTCAAGAGATCTGCAATGCCTCCGAGTGTGACTGCCCATAATGACTTTTCTACCAACTTGATTTCTTCCGGGCTAAACCTAGAAAACCGCATTCCTTTTCCAAGAAACACCCATCCATAGACACAATATTCTTCTGACATACATCCTGCCATGGGTTCAATATGCCCTGTGGCTATCATTAGCTTGTTTAGCTTTTGACACTGTATAAATCTGTAACAGGCAATGAAGTATAAGCCACAAAGTCTGTACAGTTAAAACGTTAGTGTGGAAAGAAAAAGAACTGAAGTCTCTTATGGATTACAATTCTTCATTTTGGCCATTCCAATTCATGCTTACTTCCACTCAAACTTTCTCTGATTTTTGCTTTTTTAACCCTCTAGGAGTTTACAGCAACCAAATCCTGCTCTGGCAAAGCTGCAGAGCTATACAGCTACTCACAAGTTCAGCAGTGCTAGTTCTCCTTTGAGTAGGGGGTGCCAATAGAGATGGTGTCTCCTCACATAAAAAAATGAACACATAATGAAAACACCGTAATTCTTTTCCAAACATATGCTAAGACTATTACAGATCAAAAGAAAAATCACCAAGTCCATCCTCAAGCAGCAATGTGGGGGACGGTAAACATCCTAATGGTCCAGAAGCTGAATCAAACCAGAATAACAAACACTACAAATTATTATTTCTATAATAATTAAATAATGTGTATAATAATTATCTGGCAGAAAAAGCCAGAAAGTTCAGAAAGATCAGAAAGTTTTCTGCAGAAAGTTCCTATGCAATCTATTGCCACCTAAAATCACAGTGTCTCATTCTCAGTAAGCATATTAATTCCTCAAACAGTTCTTGACCATCTTAAAAGTTTTAACTGACAGTGGGATCAATTTGACCTCCTGGGCTTGTGAAAGTCACAAGCAACTGGTGCCACTCAAGACTGGAAAAGCTAATGCCTAAATTAGGGAAGAAATTTTCCTTTCCCCTCCCACTCTTCAGCTTGTAATAAATTGGACAAAGCAATCTGGGTAAAGTGGTTTCTTTACAGTCATCTAATGGCAAACCGCAAATTCCCAAGTGCACTTAAAAGGAAACCAGCCAAAAGCAAGCTTCAACATGATTTAATCAAAAGTAACATCTTAACTCTGGCACAATCTGGCTAGAACATGTACTGGACATGGGGGCATCTATCAGTAGCTCTCAGGAACTAGCAGAGTTTTTATCCTACCTCGGTTGTCTTCAGAGCCACCAGCTGTTCTGAACAGTCCTGAATACCATACATAACTAAACCTCTGAGAGACTAAGACAATTTCATTGGCAAGGAATAAGGTCTTGGTAACAGTGTCTATGTACAAGATCTGCTCTCCATTCCTGTGCACTGGTTTCCTATAGAACAAAGCATAAATTCTTATTTTCAAGGAACTGAATGTGCTGGCTTCAGGATTCCTAAAAGACTGTTTCAAGTTCTGTGAGACAATCATGACCAGCAGTTTTGGTGTCTAAAATAAACATCATTCATCTGTACAATTAAGATTTTCCTGGAGACCTGGTCGAGACAGTGCCGAGAACCCTTACAGAAACTACAGACCGTTACCATCACCTGCTTTAAATACAGAGTACATTTATTCAGACTTACCTCCCATAAAAAGCTATGGCACCTGCATTTATACAGACACGTTTTGTAACTACATAGAACAGGAAAAGTTTCCAAACCAAAAGACTCCTTGAAATATGCTTAAGACCAAACATGTGACTGATGTTTATCACAAACCATACCACACCACTGTAAATTATCCACTTGTCAAGTAAAGCTCATGCACCCATAGGCTCCCCAGTGTGAGACTATACAGAGGAGTATGCTAACCACCATCTTCTGCTGCATCAGGCTCGAGTAGGAGAGTTTTAACACAGAACCTGAATTTTGACAAGTGGGAAGCGAGTTGAACTAAAAAATACACACCAGTGGCACTGACAACAAGAAAACATAGAACTACAGAGAAACACTAACAAAGATTCCATTACCAATGCATTTCTTCCTCCTCCTGCTGTGATGTTCAGGGCTTTTTCCCCACCTCACAGAGCGCTCTCTTAAATTATTTCTTCCCACTAACCTGTCTCATCATTCCTCCAGTGCAAGACTGTTTACAACTCCTACTACAGTCAGGGTTCTTAGATGGCTTATGGTTATCCCTTTTTTAGGGGTAGGGTATGCAAAGATCTATCTCCTTAAAAACAATCAGAAAATCTCCGGATTGGCACAGAATTATATCCACAACTTCCCACACATAAATACTCAACTGGATGAAATAAGTCACTAAAAACCACAGCTGTTCAAGGTATTTGAAATACAGGACTCACTAGCAGAACTGTTAATTTATAAACTGTTTCCAAACCTACATTTTGGTAGTGACTCCTGTGTTCAGTAAATATTCTCATTTCACAGAAGTGACCAGTTTTAGCAAGCTGCTATGAAAAAAGAAAATCAGAATGAATTAAGAAGCACTAAGAAACAAAGTATTACCAAGAATCGTTCCTCTTTTTCCAGCCAACGCTGATCTTCTTCCATCTCTTGCTGTTGTCGTATCAATCTCTCCTCCATGAGATGTGTGGGTAGAACCTGCCCCATTCCTCTTATGTCCAAAGTGCCTGAATCCTAGAAAACAGAGTAAGTTTACTCAGTCTCACAACAACTTAAAATTTGTATGAACAGCTGCAAAAACTTATAGATTATAAAATAGATTTTTAAAAGCCCCAATGCACAACAGCACTCAAGCAGAGTTCCTTCAACTCATAAACTGAAGCAGACCATCAGAAGAAACTCTTTCCAGCTACAGACATTTTATCTGCCTTGCTCCTAATCACCAAAACCAAAAAGATTTGAAAAATTCTGTTTTGTTTTTCAGCAACATTGTAACTTCATATATTGCACTTCATTTAAGTTGGACAACAAAACTAGATTTCATTTTCTCGGTCTTGAGCAATGATGTAACTAGCCAGTTGTTAAAAGCTGCAAATACATTTTTATCCAAAACAAATATGCTTTTCAGTTTTAGCTGACACTTGCAAAGCCTGTCACTAAAACATTTTTAATGGATTTTTGAACAAATTTTGATGCATGTCTTAAGCTTACAATACTCCATATATCATATCCCAATGCTGTCTGGAAATCATTAGCAAGTAGCGTATAAATTAGTATTTTTAAAAAAGCCTAGGGAAGTTTGGTAACAAACATCACTGAGACTGTTTTTAGGTAACCAATTTCCCAAGCTTTTGTGAAACCTTTGGCTATAGCTTAATATTATGAACACGTGCAAAGCATTCCACCAACACTTTAGTCAAGCACAGGATAGTTTGACTGAATTGTTTTATGAGTCAGGGATGTTGAACTACTTGGGACTGCAACCCTCAACTACCTACAGTGTGAACAACAGCAGCATGGTAGCAAGCTGCAGGAGCAGAATATATAGCTGAATCAACCCAGAGTAAGCAAAAGCAAACTGAAGACTTGGACACCTATCTGCTCACCTGTGTTTAAGGGGTACGCCGCTGTTATCATGTGTTTATCAGAAGCACAGGGAATAGAGCATTGGTTAGAGAGGAAACATTTAAGACAGAGGCTGCACAAAGTTAATCTTTGTGGGAGGATAAAATGGAATGAAAAAAGTATAAAATACTGGAGGAGAACAGGAAAAAAAAATATGACATAATGTTAAAGGGGGAATTAATTTGATGTTCCTTGCAGCGGATCTGTGAAATCATGACAGGCTGAAAAGCACCTAACAGGAATACAACTCAAGAACAGTTTTGGAGACCATTTAATTCTCTGTTCTGGATAAGTCATGGAGAAGGCTCAGATACTTTAGCTATGCTGGCTATCTCCCATGAGAGGTATTTTTAAACAGTAATGATACTATTTATTTTTACATTAATGTTCCCATATCTATTAACAGCAGTAAGTTTCAACAAAGCCTTCTTTTAACAAACACAAAATATTTGCTATTACTCAGTTAAGATAATTACTAATAACTTCATCAAGAATTTGTGTAAAGAGTATACTTTATGACCAATTTCACATAGGAGGATTTGTTTCAAAGAACAGAATTCATGACTTCCAATCCACTGCAGTAAGGCTATTTCAGAAATACCAGAGAAACACTTAAGTTTTCCTACAATGATCTCCAGATGCACCTAAATAATAAAAAAGTGTATTTACTGCACAGAGTGCAACAACAGATGTATAATTTCACGATACCTCCATGTTTGGTTGCCACACTGATATTTCCTGAGGCCGATGGTTCCAGGAATCTGCTTGATCCAAGAGAGAAGCCTGCCCAGGATAAATGCTGCCTGCCATGGCCGGTATCCCGTGAGAACCAGGGTAGCCAGACACCTTTGGGAGGGGGAAGGGAGAGGAAGAAAAAAGAAAAGAAGTTATATTAGTAAGACCTATGCTTCGTCATAATTAATAGCTTCCCCTCCTGAAGGGAGCAAAAAATCAGAGTGCAGAAATGACTCAATTTAAGCAGTCACTGAGAGGGAGGAGGGGAAACAACATCAGAAGTAAGCCGAGCCAAAATATGACACAAGCCCTCTTTTTTAAGTCTTTGAGGATGCCTACCATAACATAGATACTTGAGGATAACTATTACTATATATAAATATATAGAAATATAACCATAACTTTTGAGGATAACTATAACTATTTGAGAATGCCTATCAAAAGAGTATCATTAGGAACTGTGTTTTAACCACTGCAGTCAAGAAGATCAAAGTCCTGTGATGAACAAACTTTTTTAAGAATTTCTACAGCAGCGAAGAAAAGCAAAACCTGTGAGTGTACTATGTGGTAGATATAAACGTGGCTATCAGCCAACAGAAAATAAAAATGTTTCAGAGAAACATCAGGGAGCAGAGTATCAGTAAGTCCAAAGAAAGTCCACCAGTTAAAGCCATTTTATAAGGCAAGTAATTTCATAGCTTAGCATAAATGTTACCATGAACACCACATTACTTCAATAAATATGAATATGCCTGATGTGTTTCATTGCAGTTTTAGGAATTTGAGCACCATATCAGTTATGAAAATATTTGTCATCAGGACTAAACTTACCAGGCTCAGTTCAGGGTTTGTTCTGATGTAAAACAAAAAGCCATTTAACAGAACTCAGTGAAACTAAACCGCCTAAGAAGTGAATCAACCCCACCAGCCACAACTGAGTTATAAACCCCACATTTGAAAAAATACATGCACAGTGTTAAATGTAATACCTGGTAATGATTTGGCTGTACCATATGTTGTGGACTTGGATAAAACCCTTCACTGGATCTCGGACTGGGGTAACCAGGCCTACTGGGCTGTAAATGTAAAGGAATTTTTAGTTTCTTTAGAAACAAAAAACTAAAACCAGAAAATTACTTTTCAGTGAGACAAACATTTACAGATTGTGCATCAGAAAAGCATGCTCAAAAAAACCCCTGAAATAAATATTCTAAAATGACTAACATTTTTTTTTAAACAACTAAAATTAAGTTTTCCTCCATTTCTGCTTGGAAATGGATGCAGCTGAATTATTTGCTAGGTATGTCAATAAATAATGCTTGCTCTGTGGATTATTTGTGTATATTTAATTGCTTGCACTGAATGACCTGCTCTGTGCTGTTTAACTCTAGAGAGGATATTAGCTAAGAATGTAATTCTTAGGTCAAGTTTCCAGGTACACATATAGTATTGTTTCCAAGTTCGTGATCTGCAGTACCTAAAGTTTTGCTATTAATGTGTTGCTTTTGTGACTGTTCCCAAAAGTAAATTCTTTTGCTTCAGCCAGAACACAAATCAAACTGGTTTGTTTAGCATGAATATTTCCATGTGTTATTCTTATGAGTAAAGTTAGTTCTGATAATTAACTTCTGTGTAACTAATTGCCTCAGCATGGAAGGTGCTTTTGATCATATTCTGAATTCCATGGTCGCTTCATTATCCATGCTTTGTTTTGCAACCCATCCCCAGCCAAGAAAAAACAAGACAGAACTAGTTCTTAGTAGAAAGGACAGCTAAAGAACAGCTATCAAGAGTCTTTATCTGAATATCTTGTTTTACTCCTTCAGAAGAAGGGCAATACTTTACTCAAAATGTATAATCACAGAAATATATGTGAAAAGTCATCAGAAATTCGGACAGTACTTTTACAAAAACCTGCATGGAAAGGAGCCTGGTTTTCTGCACACATTGAACAGATCATCCTTTTGCCAGAATAGGTATGTATAGGAATCTCACACTACTGAAAGAAGTAATGATGGAAAATGTTGCTCTGAACAACATACTTGTATCTTCCAAGCAGAAGCATTCTGTTATTTTGTTTGATATCAACTTACAAAGGTGTATATATATATATATATATATATATTTTTTTTTTGGATGAGGAACAGTTCTGCTGAGTGTTTCAGGGGGAGAAATTCAACCAAAGAAGGAAAAAGACCCCAAACCTCACCATACTGCAAATGGACTCCTTCAGTCCTTCTGCAAATTAAAGGCAACTACCACATTATTTTGAGATTACATTATTTTATTATCACTTTATGAAAAATGTCATTATCATTTTCCACTAGGATATTTTCTATCTTAGGTTTCTAACGGAAGTCACTGTGAGATACAAGTAATTTCATAGTACAAATTGTGATATCCGTGAATTATTTGAGAATGTGTAGGAGTTTAAGGCTGTAAATAAAACGGAGTTTAAGACCTATAAAGACCTAAAACTTTTATAATAAATTGTTGGAATAAAAAAATCAGTTGTCACCTTAAGAAAATTAGATAGTAACTTAAAAGATACTTAAGATCTCCTATCTATGGAATTCAACTTGCTCAATGTCATTAGTATGCACTTCCATATTTTACACAAAAATACTATAAAAAACCCCTAACCAACAACTGCATCCCATGTACAGTGAGGACATACTGACCCCCTCAAAAAGATATGCAGTGGTAGAATTAATTTCAGTCTTAAGATATCTTTTGTCAAGTGTTTCAGTTTATATGTCACACACAAAGCTCTAATGATGGTAATTTCTAATATGGTGTAGCTCATATATTACATTAGTAAAAGGTATTTACTCTATTTGGCTTAGCCCCAAAGCTTCAAGACTAAACAAATTCCTCAAACAAGGTTGTAATAATTAAGTAGCATATTGTTCCAATTTATGCAGTTTATCTGCTTCTGTAACTTGGAATATCATCTGTTTACATATACACCAAATCCTGCTAGTTAATCTCAGGGCACTAAACAGGTTGATGGATTGTTTGCTGTTTTTAACTCTGAAATGAAAGCAACAATTCCACTGCCTGTATTTCTTGGTTTCCATAAAGCTATCAAAATGCAGAACCAAGCTCGGAAATCTATCAGGCAACAACTTGGGTATGGGGAAACAAACAAAATAAAAATAACTTGCATTCTTGTGACTGTTGGGGGATGTGTGCAGCAGAAGGTGCCGCATGAGTACGACTGAAATCATCAGCACTAGAGCTTGCGTATACAGCTACAGGAATTCATCACAAACTGATCAGGACACAGGTAATATTCCACATTACAGTGGTGACATCCCAAAATTCAATTCTTCAAACTAAAGACTCGATCCTTCAAAGTGCAAAAATAAGTCCAGTGAGAAGCAGACAAGTTACTGGGAGAAGACAGTGCTTGGCAACTGGTGAGTGTGGAATACCACAGCTGCAGACCACATCAGTGACATCCAAACAGGACAGGCACGTAATGAAACAAAATTAAGTGTAAAACAGAACACATAAATCCTTGGAAGCAAACTGCTAATTTTCTGTCCAGAATAAGGAAAATGCAGTTACTTGACTGCTACCCTTTCACTGACGTATTGTAAATAAACTTGAAGCTGATCTGGGAACTCACTAGCTAACGTTTCATAGGAGTGCCGTAAGAAAGAAGAAAAACAAAAAAAGGCCAGGAAACAATTCTGTGGCAACTATGATAGTCTTTTACAAGTTAAACAACAAGAAACAGAAAATCGTTAGTGTGATATTATAGCATGGATCAGTTCTAGTAAGAGTTCAAGTAGAGCCGGGTCATTTCAGGCAAGTATTAGCAGATGATGACAAAACTGGCCAGAATGCTGTTGTTTGAACGAACCTGTCAAAGGAGGCTTTGAAGAAATAAATGGAAGAAAAAGAGCTTTTTTGTTTGTTTTTTAAACACATATAATTTGCAGTCTTAGCTACCTTGGGAGGAGCTTCATCTGATCCTCCTGAGTCCCAGGATACTGTGACTTGTCGCCTGGATTCCATTCTCATTCGTTCTTCTTGCTGCAGCTTCTCTTCCTCCAGTATTGTACTAAGAAAAATGTATTATATTTAAGTAAAACTCCACTTCAATGTCTAAAAAACCTCTCCCCCAGAGGTCTCACTTTTTCAGACTAATGAACACTATTCAACAAAGTGATTGAGCACTGAAACACAAACTTCTTTTACTTACATTGGTTAGGTTTCTGAAAACCAGTATCAGAGTGCTTTTAACAACAGAAGCAGCACTGAGCTTTTAGAAAGCTGTGGTTGATCTTGCACAAAATTTTTTTGCATGTTAACAGATCTTTTGATGTGTAATTACGCAGAGAAATCCTCAAAGACAATAAATCGAGCACTTACTTGCACAAAAACTCATTTTTCACAAGAAAATATTCTACTGAACTGCTGCAAAGGTTCAAAACAAACTGAAAATGCTCTTTACTGAAACTTAACAGAGCTTCAGATCACTGGGATTTTTTTTTCATTTTTAAACAAAGCAGTCAAAATACATTTTAAATACTATGTTTTCAGCTCTTACATTTTAGCCTAACCAGGAACACATTTAGCAAACTAATTTAGCAAAACAGAAATATCTGACAGTATTCACTCAGCTTCTAAACATTCAGGTCAAAAGGCTACTTTTTTAACAAAGTACAAGACAGTAGTAAAACTAGTTCGCTACTTACCACTGTTCTGACTATTAAAAAGACTTTTTGAAGTTCAGCATGATACTGCTGCCCCCACAGCAGCCTCCTCCCAGTTCTGCTATGTGGATTATTAATGTTGGATATTTGCCATTTAAAAAATACTCAGAATGAAGCTTTGAAATAGAGAGCTGCAAATTCATTGGAGCTGCACACTACATGGGTAGTCTGGAGATGTGAGTAAGGCAGATTATTTACATATCACTATCCCCAGTGAAAAGATAATCCTGTAAATGAGCTATTCCAGCTTCTTTATCACTCAAGAGTTTTCAAAAACAAAGCGAGGTTCTGAGTTTATAATCTCCTGTTCAGTCTGCTAAATAACCACCCAGAATTACTCATGCAGGGAATGAGATCAACTACAGCAATCTATTCTAATCTTGGAACTTTACTGCTTATTTCAAGAATAAATTCCTGCTTGGCTGGAGACAAGAACTTTGCCTTTCCTTACTCGGCCAAAAAAAAAAAAAAAAGTCACTTTTAAAAAGCAGAGAAGTCGAGAAGTCATCTCACCTCACTGCAGATAAACCAAGTTTATAAGTATTGCTGCAATTTCAGTCCATCATTGCTGAAGTAACACAAGAATGTGGAACAAAACCAAAATCAGACGAGTTATTTGCAGAAGTCATCCTGGTGTAATTACCATGGAAACCCAGCTATAGCCCAGCAGAGGGAACTAAAAAGATAAAGTCTTTGTATTTTACCTTTCTCTTCCTTCAGAATAAGGAAAATGAAGCATTTCCTACTTAAACCCATGAAGAACTAGCAAAAAACCACTGTTTTAAACCTAGATCACACTTATGATATTTAGCATGCATCTTTATGTAGCAAGAGAAATTAGCCAACATGCATCAATAGCCATGACCCATGACTATGATCTTTCAAGAAATACCTCAAGACTTAAAAAAATCACAACAAATCAACACAAAGAAGTCCACCCAGACGTTGCACAAATAAAATACAGATTTCTAACAAAGCTGTTGATATAGGAGTTGCTCTAATCTGAGCAAAAGAATGGAACAGGACTTGGCTAAAAGCAGCTAACTAATTTTAGAGATGGCTTATTGACAATTTCGGGCCATGAGTGTAATTTGTCACAGCGCAGTCCTGTTTTTCCGTAAAAGGGAATGAAACACCAATACCTATCTGCCTTGCTATCAAAGCCATTTTATTTGTGGTGTCATGGTATTCAATACAATACCATTAACTTCAATCACATCACTGGAAATTACAAATTTCTACCGAAATGACTTGTTTTTCGTAACGTAGGCTCAGCTTTTTGCTTTACAACTCCAGTTCATCCCACTCTGCTCTTTTGTCACCTGTGTCATGGGTAGGTCCTTTCCCCAGCAACCCACTAAGTAGCCTGGTCAAAGGCTGATCAGCTGCAGCAGAATTTGTACTTGGATGCCCTTGAGTACTGCTGACAAGAATATAAAATAGAAATGCCTCTGAGAAGCATTACTCAAAAAAACACAAAGAATATAAATGACTCACAGAAGCGTCTTTGTTTTTACAAAGGGAAGACCAATCCATAGACGGAGTAAAAACGTGCCAAGAGATATTTTTGACCTTTACTCAGTGCAGCTGCTCAAGTACTCTGAACAGTCTATTAGAATTTGCAGAAGGTCAGGAAAGTCAGATCTAGGCATATTTTCCCAAACTGCATATATTTTTAGCAGCAAAGAGGAGCAAGCAAAGAAGTATTTCTATTCATATCATTTCCCTAGCAAATCTTGAGGTAGTACAGATGAACTTAACTCATCTTCTTGGCTATGTTAAGTCTGATGAAAAATCTCAGCCATTAAATGTTTGCATAATTGATAAACTTATTAATTTACAAAGAAATCTTTTTACTGACATTGGCTTGTAACATTGAAAAGGAAACACCTACTGGGAGTTTCAGTATCCTTACATTTCAAAAAGCACAGTAATACCAGTGTTTACTGCTATGATGGTATGGGAACCTAAAGTAAGTGCTGACTCTGAACACACAGCTTCTTTTTTTCTGTGTGGTCTTGGGCCATCAGAAGGGCAAAGCTGGATATGGATGAACATATTTTCACATACTGCCCTAATTTAAAAGCACCTTCATATGGATTATAGGATTATTCCTAATGGTCACTGACAAAGAGCAAAAGACTAATGAAGCATTCTGCAGCCTCCATCATGTTTTTCAAGTATGCGTTACAATATTTTTCTGGTAAGATGCCACAGAAGGAGAGGACTCAAAGTGCCCTCACTCTTACCAGTTTTGTCTCTGATTTATAAGCAACATTTCAGGACCTACATCAAATGCAGTGACAAAAAATCTCAAGTCCAGTTCCAATCAGTTAACTATGTCACTGCTGTCATAAAAACTAAATTTAAATGCATAAATCAATTTTTACTTTTTACCCCATCCTTTTTGGAGCTGTATTTAATGTGACCTGCAGTGCTAGGATGCTAGTGGGTTCATCCACTTGGTTAAAACCTGTGCTGCCTCATCAGTGACCAACAGAGGGCCAGAGCGACACTCTTACCACAGCAACGATAGAACTGCTGCTTATTCTGCTCTTTTTAGGAGAAAGAGTTAGTGATAGGTCCTTTAGAAAAAATTCATTTAATGATGCAGTGACAATGTCTTGCAATTACATTAATCTGAAAGCTCAAAATTAAAATCCAGCATAACCTCCATTGCAACCAACGCCAGTTTTAACAGAATTACCAACCAAGGGGACACTGAGGGCACGACTCGCAAGCACAAGCCTGGAAACCGACTTTAAAAAAGCTACCTTAGTAATACACACCCGCAGTGTATTCAACATAGCAAAGAAAAAATTAAATTTAATAATACATGCATGTATGAGTCTATGGTTATAGTCAGTATACAAATATAGTATAGTAAGTGACTGCTTCTAGTAAGTGGCTAGGAGTCATTCTGAGGACAAATGCTGAAAAAGCGATATTGCACGATATGGGTACATTAAACACTTTGTAAAGGGCCTCTTGTATTATTTACCATGTTGTGCAAGATTAAAAATCTCTTCTATACAAAATTGACAAGGCAAAACATGCTTCCTGATCAAAATACCACAGATTCTAATTCTGGCCCAATCGGTGACAAAATTGCAGGACTAGCAGGGTAGCACCTCACTTATTCTCACCCTTACCACTCCCCAAAATTGAAGAAGGGATCTAGGATGCGAGGAGGAATTAAATTTGGAAATCCACAATCCACCCCTTTGTTTCTGCATTTGCTGTGAAGACTAACTCATCCCTATCCAATTGGGACAGATCAAATACTAATAAAATAACAGGCCCCGTTACTACCCTAATAACACTATATAAATTCTACAGAAATCAGCATCTTTATGTTGCACAAGCAGCTGCAAATAAAGTTTGTGCAAAGCAGATGTTACTACAAAATGGGAAAAGCTTCAAATAACAAAGAGAGAACACATGAAATGCTTATGCTCCCACCAATGCTATTTCAGATGCAGAAAAGAATTTTTTTCCCAAAGCCCTGGATGTTTTCTCATTAAAACAGAGAGGAACGTTGCGGTGCTGTATCACTGGCTTCAAGCAAACAGCCACTCTGCTCTCAGCTTGAAAAGACTACCCTGGATAGGATCCAGAACAAGCAGCAGCAACACCACACAGAAAAGGCCACCAGGGAAATGGCTTGTTTTTGCAAGTTCATGGGAATTTGGGTTTTGAAACACAATCTTCCCTAGCTGCCTGAGATTGCTTCATCATAAGGGAATTGGCAATCTTTCCAACGAGAGGCTGACTGTCTGTAAGCAGTGTAAAGAAGCCCTGAGGACAACTGTCCTGCCTAACTTCCAGGAGATAAATGTCACCAGTTTGGAGTGGCAGAAGACCCTCTGCTTTGGTGAGAATAGAGTAAAAACTGGATTTTAGGGTTGCTGTGACCCCAGGAGAGAGGCTGTCCTCCAAACAACACTTTCAATCTTTTAGCATGACTAGAAGAGCAAAAAACCCACCCCCTTGGTGCAATTTTCATCTAGAACCAGAGAATCACTTAGGTTGGAAGGGACTCCTGGAGGTCTTGAGTCCAGTCTCCTGGTGAAGCTGGGATCCACACACGGTGATGTCAGGTTGCTCGGAGCCTTTTCCACTTAAGTTTTGAAAGTCTCCCAGCATGGAAATTCCAGAGTCTTTCTTGGTGACCTGTTTCAGAGCTTACCAACACACACTGGGAAACATTTTGTCTTGTAACTAACGAGAATTTGACTTGCTGCATGTTTTGAGTATTGGTTCTCGCCCTTTGGCTGTGCATTTCCAGGGAGAGACAGGCCCTTGGGCACTGGTCTATCCTGTTTATCTGGTGATAGTCTTCCACATCTTTCACTTTTTTCCCCTCTCCCTCTCCAGACTCATACTGTTATAAGCATTGTTGCCATCACTCTCTCTCACTACTGCCTACATTTACTTCACCCCCACAACACAATTACTTTTCCTCAGGATTTACTCATCCATTTCCCTTGCTGGTGAGATACTCTTTGCCCTGCCTGGGTTTACACACCACAGCCATCTTCCTAGTCACCTTTTTTTTTTAGGGCTTCATTCTCCTCCATGCCAGTCAGCTGTAAGTTATCAGTACAATCTGACTACAAATTAAAAAGAATTCTATTCTTCCAGAGCCAAAAAAAAAAAAAAAGCAGCAAGTGAATTGCCAATTTCCACCTATTACCCAAATCACACAACTATGTCATATTTTTTCCTTGCAATCCCTACCCAGCCCTACCATTCCTTCCTTTGTGGTTAACTCCATACAGTCAATAGGATGATAAGTTGTTTGTGAGAAGGGCTACATCCTCCCCTAGCTATGTAAATTATTAGCCTACACAGGAGCTCCCAGAGTAACAGATGGTGGAACTGTATGAAATTTTAAGAAATAGGAAAAAACTTAAAGGCAGATATATTATCCATACAGCAACTCTGAAACAGCATCATAATTATATTAAAATGGTCCTGTATTTTAACCACCTATGAATTATCTTGTACCATGAACATCCAGTGACAGCACAAAATGATATTATGAAAATAAAACATGCCACAGAGCACAACTTTGAAACAAGACAAAAAACTGAAGAATTTGCAATGAATTGCAACAAATCCAATCATAAATTTACAGTGTGCAATACCTACATATTGTTTGAAGCTTATATTGACTTAGGCAAAATAGATATTGAGAACTCAAAAAATCCCAAAGGTGGTCACAAACACCAAATGTGTCTGCACAGTATCTCAGTAATGTTTCAAAGTTTAAATATCATTCCCATTTTGGGGATGGTGAAATGGAGATATGGACACTGGAATAAATTACTGCAGAATAAACTAGGCTGTGAATGGTGTCAGAAGTGTGTGCACGCATTTGTTCCAGGAGAAACATAAGGTAGTCTATATCCTGGTTTACAAAGGACAAAAGAATTTCTAGTTAATGATGATGCATTTATTGCAAGCTCCAGAACTGCGCAGACACAGCTGCCACAGGGCAACTAGTGTGATACATATGTTATGAAAATGACTTTCAACAGCACTCACCTGGTGGTTCATTTATTTGAAAAGGATACTTTTTCACAGCAAAACTGTCCACTACATGTTTGACTAGGTAATCACTCTAAATTCTGTCTACGTCCCTCCCCAAGGACTGCAGCACACATAGCTAAAATTATAAACAAATTGCTTGCAAAATCTGGAGTTTTTCTTGGGAGAGAAAGTAGGTGATTCATATTTCCAGTTATTTGAACTTATTGCCTAGTCTAATTTTCTCCAACAGATAAGGTCCAGATTTCTAAAAGAGTAGCAACAACGTGGCCTTCTGAAGATAAAACTTAACACACTATTTCCAGAGAAAGAAAATACTGTAACAGAAGATACAGTAAAAATAAATATTTCTGAACAAGGAAATGACCTTTCAGAAGTATGACCCTACCTGAGTTGTGCTTTAAGTTCGGTAAACCTGGGTCGTCTACTAGGGTCGTATGCCCAGCACTTGGTCATAAGGCTGTAGAGGGTAGGAGGGCAGTTTGGAGGCATTGGGAGCCGCTCACCATTCTCAATTCGCCCAATCACATCATTGTTCTTCACTCCCTGGAAGGGCTTTACCCCGTGCATTAGAATCTCCCACATACACACACCTGAGAAACACACACAGAAAGATTTTCCCCAGCGTGAGCAAACAACACAACTTGTTAAAACAGCAACCCAATTTTGTATAGCCAAACAATGCCATTTCTTCTGAAACATGTAACTAGAGAATCAGTTTTGACTTACCGGCTGGCAGCAGAGAGCAGTGATGTGCAGTAGGATTACACACGCTGTAGCAACCTGAACTATTTATGAGGCAGCCTGACCCACAGCAGGCTCACAGCAGCCTGGCTTCACATTTAACCACCTTTTACCTATTGTAAATCTGAGTGGTTGCTCATATTCAAATCTACTTTTTTTATGAGGTAAAATGAGCTGTGTTTGCTTTTCCCTTTGACTAGTTCCAACCGGCTTGTTTGGACATGTATTTTCACTTTGAGGGTGTTTTAACGCTGGCATTGATCCAAATTTTTTGTGCTGAAACTATGTAATAACACAGTTTCTGTTGAAACTATGTTAAAAGCACAAAGGGAAAAATGGTCTGTCAGTTTAGGATTGGCCAGAATGTTCCACAAACTTAATTTTTCTAACTCTGACTGTATTAAGAGTTTTTAAACTGCTATAAACCTGCCAAAATTCATATAACATTTACTTAAAAACATTAAAATTTTATTTTGTAAAGAAGGTGAGCTCTTACTTGACTGTCCTGCTCTTATTTTATGTCTCATCATCTTTGTTCATTTAAACAGCCTATCTTTGTTCTGTCTGTCCAGACCAGCAGTCCAGACCAGTGTGAGCACAGGTGATCAGATTCATATGAAAATGTGCATGTTTAGGAAAAAAAGATCAAGGCTTCAGGATATTTATATTTATCCTTATTTTTACTCAGCTTCTGGTCATATTTTGTAAGCTAGCAGGAGCTATGAAAGACAAATTAAGTGGCAATCTAGCATTAAAGATCTGGAAATGGGACATCACATGGGCTGATCTATGCATTGAGCAAGGAAGCAGGCATATCACCATAAAAGTGAAAATATAAAATGTAAACAGCAAATAACAATGGTGTAACAAAAACAAAACAGAGGGAAAACAATAGTAAAAAAATCTTCTATGTTATGACTATGACCTAATTTCCTTGTACCTTCATTTCTGTCAGCTTATTATTAGAGGCAAAAAGTCACATGAAACTTTCAGCTTACTGAGCAGAAAAAGGGCAGAGAAATAGTGAGATGGAAAATGTGCTGGAAGAAACTGGATTTTCAGAAAGTCAAAACAGTGCCAAATATCTGGAAATTATTTACAGTAGTTAAGATGAAGCATCGAACTTTTCCGACAGGACACTTAAGAAACTCCACCATTTGGTGTTCACTTACCAAACATCCACACATCACTAGCTGAGGTAAACCGTCGGAAGTTGATTGACTCTGGAGCCATCCATTTGATAGGTAATTTTCCTTTGGAAGCTACAGGGAAGGCAAGACAAGGCAGGCTTTCATCCTACTACTGAGCTCCACTTCAACTACCAAATTCTGTACAAGAGATTTCTGCACTGTCTGACCAGTTCTGCTGGTAGTCCTCTATCTAGAGAGAAGAGCAGCACTTTGCCTAAATATCCAGACTGATGGACCTCCTTCAAGTTTTAAATTAATTCTTATTTCAAGATGCAACAATTGCAGTTAAAAAGGTACCAGCATCAAATCTGAAACCGCCACAAAATCTCAGCAAGGGATTAGGTGTTTTTAAATGATTAATCAAAAAAGGCTAGGTCATTTGGGATTACATAAAACAGAAAAAAGAACCAATAAAAATCAAAATAATCCCTCAAACCTCCCAGTAAAGCCCCCAACAACAAACCCCAAAAGCACAACAAGAAATGATCATGTAAAAGTATTATCCCTCTCAGCAACAAACCAACAATATGTAGCTCACAGTGGTAAGAGACAAATGAAATGAGGAACCATAATGGAGTGTAAGAGGACAGGATAAAGGATAATTTAAAATATATGACTGAAAATAGAAATATATTGAAGATTAGATTTATGAATACATGGTTTCATAACATACGCCAGATTTGAAACACTACTCTTTGGTACCCTACATGCATTTTCTATTCTCCTGTTGTATTTCCCATCTATCAGGCACTGCAGGACATCTCAGCTGCAGGAGCCACTTTCCATACAAAATGGGGGAAAAAATAGGCTTCAAAGACTTTTCTGTACTGAATCTCCCTAGTCCAGTGGCATCTGAAGTATGCATCATGCAAAGTCAGCGCAAACTCAAAGTTTATCTGTAGGTAACCTTGAACTCATTGTAGGCTACCCATATAATGCCATGAATATTATCTCAAACAGGCTTCAAATGTGGATAGTCTTCTAAAAAACGTGAAGAAAGCACTATAAGCTTGTCCTAAACAGTGGAATTTTACCGAAACACAAACTTCCTACTTTTTGCAACTTAAATCAGAGCCTGTAATTCTTCCTCTTAAGAATACATGTAGGAATTTACTGCCATTTATTAGATTGTTGAATAGCTTGCCTTTTTATACAAATACAACAGCTAGACCAAGAAAATCTGGTTAATTCCTTTTGAGAACAAACTCAGTATTGTGAGAAGCAACTGTGTTCTAACTGGTCTGCAAGAAGGGTCCAGAGTGTCAACTTACCTTTATAGTAAGTACTGTCTTCCATGTATCGGGATAAACCAAAGTCACCTAATTTCACACAGTCAGTGGCAGACACCAGCACATTTCTAGCAGCAATATCCCTGTCAATCAGAGGAGACATTATTTCTAGTTATTTAAAAATGCGAAGTGGTGAAATATCATTTGAAAAAAAATTATTAAAACCCAGAAGTATCAAACTCCTTTGAGAGGACTGAATTATTTTCTAGTCATGGTTTGACTGCACATATATAGAAAAAGACAATTACATATTCGTCTACTGACTCTGAGAAGCTTGCAGAAATGCTGCAGTACATTTAATCCTTATAAGTAATAACTGTCATCCGAAATTATAACTGTCAATGTCAACATCAGAAGAAAAAGTTTTATTCTTCATCTATTTAACTATCACAGGAGAACAATTTTTGGCAATTAGAGTTGACGGAAAGAAGAAAATCTGCCTCCTAACTCTGCAAAGGTAAGGAATTGGGTTAAGATCTCAGTTCTGTAAGAGGCTTCCTAATAAGGAGCTCAGTTTTTAGTGATGCCACAGGGATTATGAAAAGACTTGGGCATTTCCCTCTTGCAGTTTCCCAGGTGAGACAACCCACCTTATGTGTCTGCTGATTCTGGCTTGACTAAGCAAACTCAACAGTGCTACTTTCTCCCATTTCAGTATGGTATAAGTTGTATTTTGAAATTTTATTGCTAGTTAAAAATAAACATCTACTTGGCCAAAATTCAAGTATCTGTAACAATCATAAGGGTCTGTTATTTGCAATGTTTTCATATACATAGCTATTTATATATACATACCTAATACTTACATCTATATGCGATTGCATCTAGAATATATACAACACACATAATTTGAATGTAAGTATTTAAATACACATAAAACGCTCAAGTTCAAAATTAAATGGTACATGATAATTGGAGTGTTGTGAACTTTTAATTGCATAAAATTAGAGTCTAAAACCAGTTTCTTCTCCCCAGAAAGCTCATGTTCAAATTCAAGGGAATAAAATTCAAAACACACCCAGAAGGAAATCTAGGTTCATCTTCTGGTTAAGCAAGTACTTGTATTTTGTAAATATTTAGTTTCCCCTGTTCTTTGCCTAAGAAGCTGACTGCCCCTTGTTTGATATTGTATATTTGGAAGATTACAATTGCCTTGCAGCTTTAAAAAATATTGTAACCACAAAGGAACCACTCAGCTGAAATCTATTCTGTTTAACATCTGGCACCATCTCCAAGTCAATCTATGAGTGGGCCAGCAGGTGTCACTCTTTAAAAGGGTGTAATTTTGGTGCCAGCATCTGAAAAAATGACATACTAATATGAAGACTGACATAAAACAGGTAAGTAGATTTCAGGAGTTTCAAAGTATTGCTGCTACACATTCAACACACATCAAGGAAAAGAAACACAAAAGGAAGGCTTCAAAGAATCCAATTATATGTTGTAAGCATTTGACTTCACTTGTACAAATATATCTAATAGCCAGCATACTGCCAGTAAAAAAATCCAGTAATTTAACACACCTCGTATTCACTAAAATTTCACGTAGCTACAAATAAAAACCTACACGTACACACATATATGTATAAAATCTTACCTATGTACAAATCTTTTGCTCTCTAAGTAGGCAAGTGCTGTGCTAAGCTGGTAAGCGTAGAGTATCAGAGAGGCAAGATCCAAACTGTATTTTCTTACTTGCAAAAATGATCTCAACTTTTTGCACAAAGAATGAAAAAAAAGGAAAGAAGTTAGAACAAAAAAAATAACAAATTTGAACAAGATACATCTCAGATTGTAAAATTTACGTGAGTGTCAATGGGCATGCCTTCCCTTAAGACTGGATGAGAAAAGAAAATCACTTGCCATGAAAAATTTGACTCTGGGTTAAATTCAAGCAGTTTTTTCTACATGAAAACTGTTAGTCAAACAAACAAACGAAAAAAATTGGTGCATTGCTTTCAGGCTCCTTTTGAAGACTGAGAGCATGTGCTGCTGCTGTTCCAGAGTAAAGCACTCCTGGACTTTTTATGCATTCTTCCCTTGGCAACTGTGTATGTTTTTGGACACAGTATATGGCCAATCAGAACACCAATTAGATCAGTATTGTTTAGGAAACACTAATTTTAATCTACAACTGGATTTAACTCACAGTAGCCAATCTCAATGCAGAACTTTTATAAGCTATATGCCCAGTATAAGGCAGTTAGGACCTAATGGAAGGTGCCACAAGAGTCTCTTTATAAATTAAAACAAGGCTTTGAAAAGTGATTTGGGCACTGGAAAGGAAATCTGTAATTTTTTGACAGAAAATTACTTCTCCACTACATGTTTTTCTGACTTTTTTTTCTTGGACAATGTATGGCAGTTTGATAACTACGATGACTATCTTACAATGCAGTATGAAAAACCACTTCACCTCACGTTTTCAGAAACATGTGGCTCAAAGGAAACAAATCAATTATAAAAAGTGAGATCTAGTATCATTTAAACCATTCATCCAAAAGGCATAATAGTGAGGAAAGTCATCTTATTTAGGGCCTCTGCTGCGGAGACTGCACAGAAAAAAACCCAGAAGAAATTCAGTGGAATGGAAAATGCTCTATTACTCAGGAAGAATAAAAGATGTACCATGTAATTTCACTTCTAGAAGGTATGTTTGCAAATGCAGTTTAAATGATATCACATTATCATCATCCTGACACAGGTCATGCTCTCAGTCTGGAACAGCAATTGAATTCTCTGAAAACTATGACTAAATCACTTTGGTATGAGCTGATGCAGTTCTCTCAGTAGATGAGTTAGATCAAATTCTGCCACTCCTGTTACTGAGTCCATAATTCTACAAACAAGTATGATATCACATTTGAGGAGCATGCCTTTGCTTTAGTACTGAGAAGTGATTTTTTTCAGTCTTCTTTAAAGGTGTCTGTTAGCTGAAAAAGAGAAGATCACAGTTGCATGAGGATTCTTCATACCTCTCCAAGTGTACAGAGCTCCATGATTATCCAAACTGGGTTTTCTGTAATAACTCCAATGAGCTTCACAATGTGAGGATGATCAAACTGACGCATTGTTACTAAAAGGAAAAAACAAGTTGCTGTGTTACATAAAAACTTTTTTAAAAATAAAAATAAAAAAAGTCAGTTAAGAAACATTTAGCCTATGACCAGAGAATAAAACCACGGTTCTGCAGGACTCAAAACAACTTCTTGCAAGCAATAATGTCTGGTTATTTAATATTCTGCAGGCAGTATGAAATACTGCTTGCTTTAGTAAACTACTGTGGAAGGTGCAGGGCTCTTGTGCCCTGGTTGAGCATAACATAAGTTAACATAATGACCTATCAATCCAGAGTATGACCAATTAACTTGTGCCCTTTTACTGAAAGAGGAAGAAGGAGAAAAGAGTGTGTACAATTCAATGTCTGGAAAAAATGTGTCAATTTATGACACAGATATAAATCTCATTTAATCATTATGTTCACATCTCATTTTATTTTCCATGGAGTTAATTAAATTTTCAGTCTCAGCAGTGCACAGTATATTTTATGCAATAAGACATACAAATCATAGAATCATAGGATGGTTTAGGTTAGAAGGGACCTTAAAGATCACCTAATTCCAACCCCCTTGCCATGGGCAGGGACATCTTCTGCCAGACCAGGTTGCTCCCAGCCCCGTCCAACCTGGCCTTGAACCCTTCCAGGGAGGGGGCAGCCACAGCTGCTCTGGGCAACCTGTGCCAGTGCCTCACCACCCTCACAGGAAAGAATTTCTTCCTTATATCTAAATCTACCCGCTTTCAGTTTAAAGCCATTCCCCATCAGTCATCCTATTACTACACTCCTTGTTAAAAAGTCCCCTCCCATCTTTCCTGTAGCCCCCTTTAAGTACTGGAAGGTCACTCTAAGGTCTCCCTGGAGCCTTCTCTTCTCCAGGCAGAACAACCCCAGCTCTCTGTCTGTCCTCACAGGAGAGGTGCTCCAGCCGACTGACCATTTTTGTGGCCTCCTCTGGACCCACTCAAGCAGGTCTATGTCATGCAACTTTGGGCAGCTCTTTCAGTTCTTGGGAGATCAGCCTGGATATAGGTCCACATAGGAAGGTTTTATCACTTCCACTTGGGTTTCAGTCACAGCTTTGCAGCTGCCGTGGCTGGGAGATGTTTTGTTTCAACAGGAAGCTACCTCTGTCTGCCCCCCAGAAGAAAATAGCTTGTTTTCCAGATGCCACCCTCCCTGAGCACCTGGCCACACAAACTGCCATGCTGTGCCCTGTTTGACCCGCCGTATTCACAGCACTCCTGGTTGCCAGTGCTCTCCCAGCGCTGCCTTTTTCAGCCGTGGGGGTTGGCCGTCGTTGCTCCTGGCCTCGCCCAAGTCTTGTCAGCTGCCAGCTCCTGGTGGCTTTCTGCGACCCTGGCATTGCCCTGGTTCAGGAAACGTCCCTGCACATCATGCAGAGCGTGCGGGCATGGAGCTCACCACTGCAGTGAGTGACTGCTAATGGCGGTTACACCGCGGTTCAATCTCCCGCCGTTGCTCCCGGCCCTGCCCAGGTCCCCTCAGCCGCTGTGGCACGAGCTGCCGGGCCTCTCCGCTCCCCTCAGGTTCCCCCAGTTCGGGAAACCCCCCCTGTGCACCGCGGCCGGTCGTGCCGGCACCGGAGCTGCTCGCTTGCACCTTTAACTGGTGTAAATTGATTTCACATGAATTCAAGGCGATACAGGTTGAACTGCGATTTTCAAATAGAGGAGTTCTGTGGACTTTAGAAAGAATACAAAACTAGGAAGCTGCGCGCGTCACGGTGGGTGCGGAGCTAGAGAGGACCGGGCCTCGTGCCGGGCAGACACTGTTGCTCCCTGGTCGAGCTGGCAGAGTTACAGCACGGCACAACAGCCCGTTTGCCCGCCCTGCTCGCTAGCACTCCTGGGGGGTTGCTTTTCTAGGTGTGGGTCGTGCCGGCCCCGGAGCTGCTCGCCTCGGCCGCTGAGGGCTGGTTTCCATTTCACCGCGGTTCAATCTCCCGCCGTTGCTCCCGGCCCTGCCCAGGTCCCCTCAGCCGCTGTGGCACGAGCTGCCGGGCCTCTCCGCTCCCCTCAGGTTCCCCCATCGTACCAGCATCAGAGCTGCTCGCCTCGGCAACTGACTCAGTGCTTATTTATGTTTTGGGGAGATGTATTTGGTAGGTTAAATGAAGTATCAGTCCTCCAATTAAGTCGTTCTCAACCAACATATGCATGACATACATCCGTAACTTAATCCTGAAGTAGTGTCGGTTTTACATTGACAATTTGTAGTGTCAATAGAAATACACTGCAATTACCAAACTGGAAAGACTACCTCCGTTCGCCTAAAACTGGACAAGAATAAAAAATGGAATCTTTTGGCTTTTAATTAATCATAAGCTAAAACCAGCAGGTGTTTTTAGATTCCTATTCTTATAAGCAATAAATTCTACTTCAGTACACTGGTACACAGCAGCCGTATAAACAACACTTCTTGAAATGCCACAAAACCCAAGAAAAGTCCCTGGGCAATGCTGTTTACAAGACCTAATGTTGTAATAGTTTAATAACATATTTTCCTGCAAAGAAACCTATATGGGCAAACTTAAGATATCTTCTTTAAAATATGAATGTCTTACGAATAATACAGAAAAAAAAATCAATAAAACAAATATCCCTATCAATGATGTAGCTTATCACATTAATAAAAAAGAATAAACAATATGGTGAAATGTCAAATGGGCAATAACAACTGCTAAAATACTACACAGGACTGACACTAGATTTCTCAGTCAGACAACTCCCCTCTTCTCTTTCACAGTAAATAGAATTTCAGAGAGGGAAGCTGTTTCTGACACCTTTAAAAAGTATGCATTGCTAAACCAGTTTAGTGGAACCCAATGTTAGTATTAAAATCTCAGCAAATGAAGTGTATATTCCAAACAAACTCCAATTATTCAGCTTTAGGGTTTTCTTGTGCTAATCTAATCTAATACAATTTACAATGTTTTATAACATGGGAAATGTTGCTTTATTGATGTAAAAATGAAGCAGTAATACAGTTTTAATTATCAAAGCAATGGAAAGGCAAATAACACAAATAGGTTTATATCATATTGTCTTACCAGTTTTAAACATAAAATACTCCATCATGGGAAGTAATTCCCAGAAGTTAAATAAGCAAACAAACTCACAAATTCTAAAAGGTAGGAGGGTTATTGTATCATTTTGTCATCCAGATTCCAGAGACAAGAGAAATTAACTACTTGCAGAAAGGAGCATTTTACCAAAAAGCCAGTGGATGATCAATACAAATCTACCCAAATCAGGTGGTTTGTATTTTAGTATATACAAATGCATTAATAGCAATATATTGCTATGCAAAAGCAGACAGCAATGAAGAGACAGCTGCTGCTCATAAAAACAATTTCTTTCATCTACTTTTTATTCTGAGGCGTTTCTCCTTGCAAGAATCAATACTAAATCTTTTCAACACTAAAAGTACCACAAGCAAACAACTAAAACCCAATAGTCATAATATAAATATCAAAATATTAGGAAAAAACTTTCTTAATTCAGTGAAATATCCAACTCTCCCTCTCCTGATATTGCATTTGGGCCTTTTGAAGAATGATTTTAAAAACTAGGAGGCAGTATCTTCTGAGAGAGTTTGCAATCTGAATGTAAACAAGGGAAAGGTAACAGATGGGAATTAGAACAAAAAAAGAAAAGAAGAAATGGCAAAACTATTAAATCAAAATTGAAAAGCACTATTTATCTGTCTACTACGTTGGCATTTCCTAATCTGTCAAGCTCAAAGCATAATAAGAAGCATTCAATGAGCAATTATTTTCTACATTGTTAAGAGACAGCAGCCTACCTTTGACTGCTAAGTTATTACTATAAGCAACTGTATTTACTTTTGTAACAGTTAGAAATATAATGGAAAAAAATTATAGTAATTTAAGAAAAACCTGACATCCAAAAATAAGAAGCCATTAGCCAAGAACACAGATTTTCTGAACAATTAGAAAAAAATCCTCAAACAAAGGAACAGTGAATAAAAGTATACTGTAACATCTGGCCATAACCAAATAATTTACTGATATAATACAATACCTTTATGAGATTTATAGATATACAATAGCAGAGGATAATAGACAAAAATTAAGGCCTAAGTCTTGTATCTTAATTTGCTTACAAAACTAAACAGAAAAATCAGTAACTCCAACATTTTTGCAGAAGTTTTCTGTTAATATTCATGCCAACAAAAAGCCTTCCTCCATGTATGAAATGTACCATTTGGGGAATGCAACATTTCTGGGCAATTATTTAGAAAATTGGTTAATTCCATCATCATTTTTAATTCTGAATTTTCAAAACAGATCTCTTAGACTTAACATTTTTAGCAACTTTGTTAACAAAGAGAACCATCTGACCTTCTAAAGTAAGTGAAACAAGTGCTATGCTTTTTTCAATTCATTAAGGAGAAAGAAAGAAACAGAGGATCAGATCTTTAATACCCCAAAACTGGTTCTGAAGCCTTATGGGAGTCAGACATCACAGTTCAATTTAGAAAATCAAAGAATCCACATGTAAGCACAGACATGGGCAATGCAAGGATGTAAAACAGTCTTCCTGGCACATACTGTAGGAGAGGAAAACGTCCTGCTGTATGTTAATAAGAGATCTACATTAGTATCAGAAGTTTCTGGCACAGATGGCTGCAGTCTTTGCAAGGACCAGTTACTGAAGCTACCTCAAAAGAAGTATTTTAATACTTACAGGCTTCTTGTAAGAATTTTTCTCTAACACTGTCTGAGGTGCAGTTTTTACATGTTTTGATTGCAACAGCCATAGCTGGATTTTCCTGAAAAACAGTATTGAGAAATAACTGGAATACAGCCCACCAAAAGTCAAGTCCTTTACAATTCTAGCAAAACTCCTTTAGAGAAAATTACTATTAACTAAAATATCTTTACTTAAGAAATTACATTTTGAAAGCTTCAGTGTTAAAGTATTACTATAATCAAGACACCTAGTATGCAACATTTACATCTAATGCACCTAGGAAACAATCTGTTTTAACTGTTAAATCATACAAAGCATTATGATAAAAGGTTGTAAGTTTAGCTGAATAGTACTGTAAACTTTTGGCATTATTTAGGATATTCTTGACAATATTTAGCAAAAGCAGAGGAAACAAGTAGATATATGCCTAAAAACCACAATTGGCTTATGCAAGCAAGCAACCTGGAAAGCCAAACAAATCACTTTTTGTGGCTCTTGAGGAGCAAAGACTGTCTATAATTTTGAACTCAAACTACAAAGGCAAGTAAAACAAAGATTTTACATATTAGCTTCACAATCAGTTATATCAAGGGCTTAAAACAGAACACATGTATTCAAAATCAGAAACAGATTTTACCATCTGATTGCTTATCCTCTGAATACTGAAAAATTAGAAGCACTGAGACAGCCCAAAGGAGGCCTCTTAGCTCAGGCGGCACCTTTCATCTCTTGCTTTGGTGTGTTTCTCAAATATCCTTTCCATACGTTGCAAAGTTCAGAGAAGCTGCAAGTGTTTTTCTCCTGAGAAGAAGCTTTAGGTGTTTGAAATTCACTAGTTTTCAAAACATCATGACTTAGCAAATGGTATTTTTACAACATAGTGTATCCTCACAGTAACATGCGGTGCTCAGATGTTGTCACTCATACAAGTTCTTAATGGTTTGAAAGCAGCTGAAGTGTTTTAAAATTAAGATTCTACATTAGGTATAGGCCTGCTCAAGGACTAGCATGCCTTCCTTCCAACTGGGAAATTGGGAACTGTGCTTTGCTTAATGAGAAGATTACAAATGAACCTTTCCCCAAACAGCTACAGGGTAGATGTATGTCCTCACCTAGTTTTTAAGGCCAGTGAGAGCTGGAGATTCAGTTATGTTCTATCTGTGCTCATGCTTGCTCTATTTTAAAGTTATTCTTACAGACAAACATTATCAGAATTAGAATAATACGTGCATTTTGCAAGCTTAAATGGCTATTTTCTAAGTTACTCATAACATAGCTCTTCACATGGACTTTGCATAAAAATACTGATTAAAACCTTTTCTCATACATAAAACATGTCCATAAACTGAGAAACTTGTGGTAAATTAACATGATTTTATTCTTGTCTGAAATCAGGATTCAATAATCAACACTGGGTGAGACCTCTGGAGGCCTGCCAGACCAATCTTTCTCCTGGTGTTACAGATAAAAATTTTTGAAACATCTCATAACCAACATCAGCATCAAAAGGAAAAGTTCCCATGTCTGCAACCAGCAAATACTCCAGACATTTTGCAAAATGAATATAGGAAAAGGCCCAGTATCAGGGTTTTGCTGGTCTTCTGTTTTCAGATAAGGAGACAAATCAGTGAGGATGTATCAGACTGGCAACAGTTTGTGTACTGAGCAGCAAACATTATTTTAAATGACACTTTTGGATTAATCCCACAGTAAATCAGCCTTTAAAGACAGTCTTATTCTAATTGCTTACATCTGAGCAATAAGATCCTATATGTATACATACATTTTTCATTCGGTATCCTCTAAATACAGGCTGGTTGTGATATTTCAGGAATACCTAGTACTAAGCAGCATTTGAGAAGAGGTGGATGCTGCACAGTCACTAGAATAAGAACATTACAATTGCAGTGAACAGGGGAAAATTCAATTTTTTTGGATTCAAATTTGAGCTCGCAGAACAAGAGGCCAGAAAACTCACCCATATTTTTGCATGTGAACTGAGTATATATAAGGATGGAAACGCTATCATGTTATTGTAGCTAATATTTTATCTACTGTAAGATTCCTTCCAAAAGTCTAAGTTACACTCTGGGACTACTACATTAGAATTTAATAATACCTCTCTGTTTCCCTTCACATATTCAAGTGTCTTAAATATAGTAAAATTTCTACTAATAATCAGCAGACTGCCATTTAAAAAGTTTGTACTAGACAAAGGATGACTGAATAAAATCTGTTTTCCAATTCAAGAAAAAGGAAGAGAGAGACAGCATTTTCAAAACAATAGTCCCTAAGAAAAGGGGTCTTTAATTGGTTTTACAGAGCACTAGATTTATCGACTGTGCCCCACGTTCAGTGAAACATTACTCCTCAAGTACTCCTGTTAACTTGGACAGAATTAAATTAAAAGTAAGAATCTGCCTTAATGAAAAGTATATCAGGATCTGCTTTTCTAAATAAAGGTATCAGAACAGACTTCAAACTTGTCTGTAATAAATAACATTTATCCTTATCTACTTACTTAAATACTGCATTAAAGATTTATTTACTTAACCCAGTGAGTCCCGAGTGCTAACCAGCTGTTTCTGGGAAATACTGTTTCTGAAGTTAGAACTAGATTGCTGTCCACATGAATTATTAAGTCATCTACTGAAAATCCAGAAAATTTCTTCAAATGAGAAACAAATCTTCACTTCACACTTGCAGAATTAGATTATTATAAGCTTGAAATTGGTTGAAATTAAATATTTTTCCAGCTTTCTCTTGCTTTTTTCCACAAACTTAGTTTTTCATTCATTTAAATTGTAATCTTAATTTTTGTGGCTACTGTCTAGAAAAACACATAAGCATCAGCCTAAATTACACAAGTCCTGTCGACCTCACTGGTTTCAGTGAGCTGACTCTTGTGCATTGGGGTTTTGCTGGATCAGCGTCCGAATATTTTGTATCTTTTCTTTCAGGAAGAAGTAGTAACTTTATTAACATACAAGTTTCTTTCTGAGAGATATAGTGAGATGGTTGCTGGAGAAACAGACACATTTGTTTAACATTAATGTCCCTCTGTTGCAGGTTACTGCCCTTCCAGCATAATAGACTTAAATTTCTTCTCAGTGTTTCAGCACAGAAGTTAGATTAGCTTACCCTGACACAGTTGGCAGCTTCTCCACTTCATGAATGCTGAACCTAAATCCAAGTCAGGCTGGACACCCATAAACAGTTTTAAATTCTGGAAAAGGTTCTAAAGCACTGAACACTCAGTAGGGCAGTATGGCCAAAGGGATGTGTGCTTACCATGCCTGGACACACTCAAAATGCAGACAGTGTATGGCTGGGGTTAAAAACAACGACTTCTAATTCCAACTCAGCCAGTGACTGTGGTACAGTCTTGAGTAATTTACTTGGCTCTTTTGATTCCTTTCCTCATCTACAAAAAATCGAGATATAGGAGCAGAGGAACTACTCTGGAGCTAATTTTCTACTTACCTGAAACATCAGATCTACATGCTGATTATTCTGAAAAATAAATCACAAAGCCAATTTTTATTTGTTCTGGAAGACTCGGACCAAGGCATCTAAGGAATACATTTATTTTTGATTTTGTTTTTTAACTAGAAAGGTTTTATTGTTTATTTATTTTTGTTTCAGAAATAAGGCTTACCGGACTCATGTAAACTCCTTGGTGTACATCTCCAAACTGTCCTTCACCGATGCAGCGCCCCAGTTCAATTCTCTCCCTTTGAATTTCATAATCTCTGGCTATAAGAATATAATGCACTTAAAATATTAAATTTGTGATGAAGGGCAAAGAAATAATCCACAAGATACAAAACTCAAAGTAAGTCACTCAAATGTCTCACATGAATAACTAAGATTAACATTTGCTGCACACCACCCTATACAAATGCTGCATACGCACAGTGGAAACCTCTTAAACAAATGTTTGAGCCAAAGCAATGAAAAAAGGAATTGTGAAATCTGATTTGCTAAATTAGCTACTATGCATTATTTATTTCAATGCAATAGACATAATTGAATCCTTCTTAATTATAGCTAGTAAAAGACAAAGAACGCAAATAGCCTAGGGCAGTAGCGATGATATTAAATACAACCTTAGCATACACCCATTTAGATGTTTAAGAGAATTCCACTATGTGGTATTTTAGATATTGGAACCATCAAATGAGCCCAGAGAATTTTTAAAGAGGTAACTGCAAGAAAAAGTACAGAAACAAGAGCATGGCAAATAAAGATAAAATGAAAGAGCAAAATTTTGAGTGCACTGCACCTCTATCAGTGTATAATTGAAGTAAAACTATTACGTTTTGTGGACTTATGCAATTTTGTTAACTCCATGGTCTAAGAGACTGAGAAAATTACTGAGAAAAATGGCTCAGTACATCAGCAAAACGTTTAATCAATTGCAACTGAATTACTTCATTTGCAATTTAACTTCTAGCAGACATGGAAAAATATTTCAGGAATAGCAGAAAAGCACATACAGTATATGTTTTCACCTCAATTTGTATTATTCAGAGAAAAAAACTATAACCAACCAGCTTAGGACTTCATGACTGATACTTTTGACTTCATTAACACTACAGAAATAATATCAACTAGAGCTGGATAAGGAAGTGGTAAGTGTATTTTTAATTTTTTTTTTTTTTTTTAAGTATTGCATTTTCCTCTTTAAAATCCCAAAGCTAACTGGTTTAACTATAAATAATGTTTATTAAATGAAAGTGAATAGTAAACTTAAAAATTCCACATCATTCCAAATTGCAAGCATACAGGGATGGGTAAAGGGTCTCCTGTTACCTTCATCTATTCCATAGCTTTCTGCAGTGCAATTAAGAGAAAAATCAAATGCTTACTTAGATATAGCTTCTTAAAATCAAGACAAGGACAAACATTTTTCAACATTTTTTAAAAAAATGAAGAAATATACTGATGCAATTTTAAGTTTACATTAGCAGAAGTCACAGGTCTGTTCTTGTGATTGCTACTGACTCAGTCCTTTGAGAGCTGAACACTTGAGTCCACTTCAATCCACCAAAGCACTTAATGAATTTCAGTTCATCAGCCCATCTCACGGGCTTTGAATTGTATGCATACTTAAGTGTTCAGCATCATCCAGGGCTGGGCTCACAAGTAATTACTCCCATGAATTTAAATGAAAAGATTAGGGGAAAAAAAAAATCACACAGTTAATATGTTAACAAGAAAATAAAGGATATAATTTATCACAGTACTTTTTGATAGTGCAATTATTTTAGTAGAATCACATAGTGACTTACTGCAAGACATTCAAAACACATTGTTTATTTCTGGAAAACATATATTCTTGCTATTCAAATATTTATTTTCAAATATATGTTTTTCAAAACATATATTCTTGCTTTTCAAATACTTTCCACACTGGTGGAAACTATGTTGTAAACACTGAAGTGATCGTGAAACATTCCTGCCATGAGGTAAACTCCAAAAGTCCTTACATTAATGATTCTTCAGGAGAACGTGGTACCAGTTCAGCACCATTGTCCCCTCTTACACTAACCAAAGGCAGTATTTTTGCGGGCCTGTGTATCAACAGATTGCCTACTTCTAGAGAAATCGTTGGTTGCAAAAACGCAACTGTAATTTTGCAGACATGCCTTTTAAAATCAGAATACTAGAATTTCATGCTAAATTAGCCTTGACAGTTTAAGATTATAATTCAAATATGCCTCAAGACAAAATCCTTGTGGTGGCTAATACATCATTTTGTTGAATTCAAAGATGAAGACTCGGAAGAACTTTGAATTTTTATTTTTGTTCCTAAAGCCTTTCATCTTTAACAAAATTGCATGTGGTACAGATGACTTTCCTCTCTTATGGAATTTGAGAGCAGGGAGTCTGTCATAGGGCAAGGGTGAGATACAGTTAGTAGTACACAGAAGCTTTCTAAATTGTTTGCTCTTATCACAGAAATATTATCCGTTCTCTCTTTAAGCATTCTGTTTGGCATCACAATCAAAAAAAAATCTATATTCTAGGACATAAAAGGAATTTCACTGTGAAGTCACTGTCAGCAGCAAAACCGATTTTGGTTTTGTTTGCTTCAAAACCTGAACCTGAAAAACACTGAATCTATGAGTTTTCAAAACATCGTAACGAGTATTTTCTTCACACACATATTACTTAAGGCTAAAATATAAGATTCAGTCCCTGTTAAACCGAAGAAGCTTTCAGATAGACAAGTTCTCAAGTTAACTACCATACTTACTTGATGGCATTGTATAAGTATCTTCCTCATCTATAATCTCTGCATAGTCATCTGTCTCTGTAAAGGGAGGAATTGAAGAGTTTCGGGAAAAGCAGATGAAAACAATTCTCCAGAACAGTATCTCCAATTTATCAAGGCTGATATGTCACACTCCCAACTTCAACACTGCTGGGACGCATTTACAAAAGCATGAATAAAACTTGCTCATGCATAATTTATGGTATGATAATGACCTCAGTGCCAATTATACTACGTCACATAGATGCATTCAACAAGAAATAAAAAGAAGATTCACTTGTATTCAAAAAAGTTCAAGTTCTGTAATTGAAACCCATCTTCACTGTTGACTTAAAATCTTTCTAATGGCAAATTCCACTGCAGTAAGGAGAAAATATTATTAACAGATTAAATTGCTTTATTTTCAATAGTGTGAATAATAGATTGCAAGTTTTTTATGTCAGACAGAACAGACAATAAAGATGTTCCAGGGCAGCACCAACCTACTGTCACAGTGTGGCAAGGTGAGTTATTTTCCATATTCTTCTAGACCATACAGATCTTTTAAGTCACACTCTCGCCTTACACACATTTTTCTTGCATTAGTCTTAATTTTCCTCGTCCAGTGGAAATTCACCACCAGTTTTGCTGTCAAGAATCAACATCTCATGAACAGTGTTTGAAAAGAACCAGTCCTCAAAATTTTCAGAAAAATGACACTGCATTTCTTTCTCTGTTTAAAATTGAAGACTTTTACATCATCTGTTCTTAAAATGGTTTAAATGGTGTCTAGTCATATCAGAAAGTCCTTCTCTTGCTCTAAAGAACTTCCAGTGTATGTAGATCATTTCCCAACAGTCAGATAAATTCCTCTGGGGGTTACAAAACCAGTCCACAACAGTGAGGTAATTTTTCACTCCAAGCCTGTTAAAATTTACTCACCAACTTTAAATGTATAGAGAGGTTCTCAAAATTGAGTAATTTCAAATCCAGTATGCAGTTTTCTTGGTCGGTTTCAGGTGATCACATATTGGGCCACCTCTGAAAGGCATGATTTACTCCCCCTTCTTCCCAAACTGCCCTGGAGCATATGTATATCCCTACACCTCCCTGGCACCATTTCTAGAGGTATGGTTTCTGAATGGTCAATGGGACAAAGCCACAGTGAGAGTGGAAAGAAGGATGGGATGACCCCTTTTGGCAGCAGTCCTCAGTTCAACTGACTTAAGCCAACTCTGAAACCAGAGCAAGGCTCATAAATATTATACACATACATAGACAAGAAGCTTAATTTTCAGACAAACTGAATATTTAACAATTGGGAAAGTACAGGTTGCCTATAACCTCTGAAGTGCAAAACACTTCAGTGAGTAAATGTAGCTTTATGATCCTAACTTCATACTATTAAAATAAAATTAAAGCTATTTTTTTCTTTCAAATTCCTGTAGCAATATATAGTGCCTTGTAAAAACAGATTTAGGAAATTTGATGCCATTTAAAATTTTGCTAGGCAATTTCTATTTAGGACACAGCAAAACAGAGTCAACTAATGAAAATTCAATTGATTATAAAGACAGTGCACAATTCTAAACAAGCAGCATGTTCCAGAGGCACTAATCCCTTTTCCTTCCTACATTATAAACTAATGTTTTTGTAGAAAATAAGCCCCAGTTTGACTTAAAAATAATCACCATTAGAAAAAAAATGTTAGTGTGACACCAATGTGATGGGGATAAATCACTCTGCTTCCTTGCAGTATTACACTAAGATATACTTAACTTTTTTGAAGTGTGGTATGTATCAACTATTGTTACAAGCTAGTATTTGAGGATACCAGAAAGTTCTGAATCTAACCAAAAAAAAAAAAAAAAAGGACTGAACGAAAGACATTATAAACATATTTGAGAAGAATTTTAAAAGTTTGGAAACTAGAACTGGTGTCACACTGGTCTTTAAAAAACCCAAACATTCATCACACCAGATTATGGAACAGCACTTACAAAATGGTTTGGCTTGTTCAATTCTGTATTTAAATTAATGATGTTAATTCGTAATAAAAGCATTATCAGAACTCCACAGAGCACTTCGCATGGTTTTGATACATTGCCCCAAACTGTCCTGAAACTAAAAGGGTCTTCAGTGGTCAATCCAAATAAATTATATGCATGCAATTAACCAAAAAAATATTTATTGTTACATATTTAACACTCTGGAGAGGAAAATATAATAAGAATTCAGAAAAGAATTCCTATATATGTGTGGCACTGTTTCTGGGAATTACAGGAAAATTCAATCAAGGCATTAACACTGATGTGCTCAAAGTGTTCTGCAACAATGATAACTGATCCCCCTTGTGTGCAGTCTCTGCCCCACAATTAAAGTCACATACTATGAGACTATTACCAAGTCTGCTAAAGCTATAACTAAGTCTGCTAAGAGATATTCCAGAACCTACATGGAGCCTACATGGAGTCTAAAGCAAAACTCCACCGGGCAAGGCTCTCCAGGCTGCTTTACAAAGAAGAATGTGTTATAGCAGTCTCAAGAGCTAAACACTCACAACAAAGCAGCGATTCCAGATGTTCTATCTTCGAGGCCCTTGATAGGTCTAGAAAAACTAAGGTTTAAAAATAGGGCTCATTACTGCTGCTGTCTTGCACATTTTAAAATCATCACTGAACCTTTTCACCCATTGGTCAAGCCCAAATTCTTCCAGATGGAAAAATGAATAGGTTGCTTTTGGACAAAGATACAGTGTTGGTGGTATGGGCGAATGAGGCAACTGGAGCTTTACTAAATCTGAATGCATTTATTAGACAGTAGAAAAAAAACATCCTAGGATATTAAATCCACAATAGCTAATTCATGACCTTAACCACCTGTTTGAAATTTCCCTTTTCACATTTTTTTTCCTATTTAACAGAGCCTGTTATTTATAAAAGATGATAAGCACCAATAAAAAGCTATGCAGGGTTAGTATCTGAAAAACAATTTCTGAATTTATGACAGAAAAAATGTCATTTGAGTTTTTAATGTTTAAGAAAATAAAGAAAATTGGGGTAGTATTATCTTTGATTTATATCTGAAGGAGAAAAAGGAGATGAAAAGTTATATACTTCCTTCACATTTTACTGAGGAAGGCTACAAGATGTTAACTCTATTTCTTATTGCCTTCCTTTGCATTCTGCTTTTTATGCCCTTTTAATACCTTCTATATATAAGAATAAAGATACATACACTATCAATAATAGCAGTTTGATTTTCATCCAACATCAGACATCATCCTTTAGAAAAAAAGCTAAAAATCTCTTTAAAAAACAAAACCAAAACCCATCTTATTTTCAGAGGATAATAAGTCGATATTTTTGAGAAAAAAAAAAAAAAAAAAGATGTATAAAGTCTGGAGAAGTTAAATATTTTGTAGTAAGTTTCAACGTTTTGAAGAAAAACATTAAAATCTGTCTTTACGATTAGCAGTTTGAGTAGCTGAAACCTGGTTAATATTTCATGTATTCAATCTATATTAATCTACCTCATACAGCTTTTTTTTTTTTAAAGCAAGGAGCAGTAGTGGCCTACAGAGAATTTTGATCCTACCATATCTTTAAAGCATCACTTAGTAGATTCATTTCTCATGTGTTACATCCACTGATCTCACCCACTGACCAAAAAATTTCTGTGATACAACCATTTCAATCGAACTGAATGGACACTCCTGCAAACCTATAAAATTTCTTTGCATCATGCCAGAACTCTCATTAAAAACACATGCAATACCACATCCCTGTGTGTTTGAAATAGTTTTTCCTTTTTCAATTCCAGTTTAGCAGGAAGTGTTAGTTGCACAGCCTGTACAGTACAATATTTATTGGCTAATGTCCAAAGCAGACTGCTTTTTAATACTAAAATCTGTATAAAATTTATTACTGAAATGTGCATTAAGTGGTATATGGATATAAGAGTTGCATATTGCATGTTAGTAACACACAGACTAGAAAACATATTACCGTCCCCACTAATTTCATCTGCAGATCCAGGTGGCATGCAAGGAAAGAGAAAAACAGAGGGGGAGAGAGAAGGGACAGAGAAGGGGGAGGGGAAAATATACTATTAAATTCATGAGTAATCCAAAGAATTCAGACTGCAGTTATAATATACCTGACTCAAGAGAAACCAGAAAAGTAGCAGAATTTAAGACTTCTCACCTAAAACCCAAGGGACAGAGATAAGTTCTAAGAAGCTTGTATGATGAAACAGAGCTACTGACTTTCAAACACAAATTTACACAAAAATTAAATTTGGGAGTGGAACTATTTTAATGCATTGTTAAGAAATGCTAATTTCTGATTTAAGTCAATAGTTCACTACAAAACAGATCTCTTACAGCCAGATGAGTCAGTACAATTTGGCTTTTCACACACACTTATGACTTTGGATAACCAGAGTTGGTGTTCACCCTTTTAAAGGAAATGCACGCCTGTGCTATCACTAAGACATAAGTCAGAAATGGAACCAAGTATTAAATATACAGAGCATACTGCAGTTATACAAAGCTGAAATTTAAATGAGTGGCAAATGGAGCAACTCTACTGGGAAGCTGTTCAAATGAGCACCATATTCCAAATCTATGGCAGCGAGCCTATTCCACACCAATACCCACAGCATAAGCTGATGCACTTTAGACATTATTTATAAATAAAAGGAAAATTAGCATTAATGTAAAAGTAATGCACATATTACTCCGATTCTTCTTACCCCTAACAAAGCCAAACTGGTCCAGACCAAATGCTGAACCAGTACGCAGCCAAAAGCATCAATGTATTCAATATTTAATTCAAAGTGATCTTAGTTGATGCTTATTGTTGCTATTCTATTTCATTCATAAGCATGCTGTATCAGGGGTCCAAGAATGAAGTAAAAATATATTAAACAAAACCCCCACGAGTATGCAGGGGCTGCATAGATATATAAATGAAATTACTAATACGTTTATCATTGTAGAATATGATGCTTAAAACTAAGTTCCCCATAAAAATGGGGACCAGCAAGTTTGATACACTGCATGAAAATCCAATTCAATAGAAGGAAAGGGGTAGCAGAAATTTACGGAAATTATTCTTGGAACTCTGTTTAACCTGGCTAAAGTAAAAAACCAGTAACTGCATTAGTATATTCAGCTTTTGGGTTAATAAGGCAGCCCTATACAAAGAGCAGTGCAGTACCCTTAGGCGGCGGCTCATGGGAACAGAAGACGAAAGGGAGAAAGCGTCTAGCTTTCTTTACTTTATGCTGACAGTGATTGATTCCTTTACAAAGAGGCAAGAAAAGGAAAGAGAAAAACAGAAACAAATTATTTGGAAATAAAAGAAAAGAGACTGGAGAGAACAGTGAATGAACATAAAAGTAAAGGTTTACATTACAAATTTGTATACACAAATGGATATATGAATGTTGTTGAAACTCTAAAGCATATCTGCTATTTTCCTTCAAATTCCTTTCTATGGCAAAGTTATTCCTATTTCAATTTTTAAAAGCGAGACTAGAATCTATTAAAAAGTCAGCTTTTTTCAACTATACATACCATCCACTAACAATGCAAAGAACACTGTCTATCCCAGAAATGTAACCCACTTTTGCAAGCTCCCCACCTAAGTTCTACTAGACTGTACTATAGCTAAATTCTGATTTAAGTGGCAGTCACCAGATTTAAACATGACTTTCTGGCCCCTTAAAAGAACTGAACACAAAACAAGTATTTCACATATTAAGGTTACATAGAACGAGGTAAAACAGTTTCTCTGTCCTAGTGAAATACAACACTGACATGTTTTATGATCTGAAATCTGCCACTGGAGTTTTACTGCCAGTGGGGAGCAGCCCTGCCAATTGATATTCTAGCTCTCCAAGGATGTCTGGGTGAATGCCCCATGGTACTGTCCTCACAGTCCTCTTTCCTAGTCATCCTACTGCATTTCACTGGCAAAGCACCTATGAGGAGGAGAGAGATTTTTGAATAGGAGAAAGTACAAAGAAGCCACAACTGATTTCACAAGGTGAGAAAGAAGGACACAAAATGACACTAAAATCCTGAGGACAGCGGTTCCTTTTATTTCTCATTACCTGCTCGTTCTCCTCTGCTTTCCTCTTTTCCCTCTCTGTGAGAGGTGGTTTAAAAACCCGCTCAACTGAAAACACATCTTGTTGCTGGTAGTCCTTCACAGTCAAAACTCAAGAGTGAGGTCCAGCCACTTTGAGTTATATAGGCAGGAGGTACAGGTGTTAAAACAGCAGCCCAGTACCACAGAATCAGGATACTGGCACAGCGTACTAGTCAGTGGTGGGACGAGTGGAGGAAGGGTGGAAAAGGACTATTACCTCTTAATAAAAATAACTTCACATTTTTCACAGGTTCTGGAAAATTATGAACCATCAAAGCAGCTATACTTACACAAAAGCACCACCTTATACATGGTTGTGCAGTTTTTAGTGGCCAGATTTTGAGGGATAATGTGTGGAATTTTTTAAAAAGCGTATTAAGTGGGGTTTCAATCACCGTCCAATCTGGAGGCTGCATGCTGAATTTCATGCATGCAAATCTAATGGGTAATGCACTACTATTTACAACTCATGCTTTGCTAAAATGGCAATTTTAATCCACAGTTAAAACAAGTGGGTGAGATTTATCACCGTATCCTAAACAACAAAATAGTACCATTATAAAAACTACTGGGGTGATTAAACAGAAACCATTCATCAATTGTGAAAATTTACGACATTGAAAATGACAGAACATTAATCAGATTCACTGCTAGAAACTAAGAGGTGCAAAAAGGAAGCAAAATTATTGTTAGTGTATCAGTACTTCTATGTATACCACATTACTGCAGTCCTAGGGATTTATCTTCCTAACACCACACAGCACAATTTCCAGCACTATCATTCGAACACAAACCTGAGGTAACATTCATAAAAAGCTTTAGATGTAGTATGAAAGAAAAGAAAAAAACACTACAGTTATTTTAAGAGACTACTGAAAAGGTACTGAAGTGAGAATAAAGGAATCCAATACTCCGTACTGAAACAGAAGAACAGGTATAGAGTCACTGGAAGCAATGCAAGCTATCTAGAAGGAAAGAGATGTTTCAACTCTTGACCTGTCTGCTCAGGCTACAAAGCTAATTTAAGCTTGAAATACTGAAATGCTGGTGACTGTTACATTGATACATGGGCAGCAGTAGCTGACTGAAACCTGACTCACCTATGTCATATGAAGGGCACACTGAAATGACAAAAGTGTTTTTCATTCATCATGTGCATGTCCTGATGCCCTGTGATATGCAGTCCAACTCGTCCTCTGCATTTCAAACTTTGCCTTTATGATTTATTGTCTAAAGTTTGTTCAATTATTCTGTCATACTAAATGGAAGTCTGCTTTGTCCTAAACTTACTACATCTTCAAGTCTAGCTACAAAATAAAGTTTATTTAGGTAAAGAGTTTAAAGAGTTGATTCTAAGTTTAAAAAAAACCCCAAGCAGACATTTCAACATTTTTTCAGGAGCTCAGAGGCTATCTGCTTGAAATTAATACCCCTTCCAGCCAGGGTATCATGGTGTCTACCTAAACGCCCATAAAGTTCAGAAACGCTACTGAAGACTTCACTGGACTTCCTTTTTTATTTACTTCCTCTTTTCAGTACTAAGTATTCATTCAAATCATTGTGTATAGAAAGAACAAATCACTTGCTATATACAAGACACTGTTAGAAAGGAAGCGACCAGACTAGAGGGCAGTTACTACTGGAGCTCCTCATTAGGACTGTATGAATAGATAACCAACACTGGAAGGCTGCAACTGATAATGTCCCCAGTTTGAGGAAAAACCCTGAAAAAAATCTGTAGATGGAATAAATCTATTTGTTTTCAAGATTTTGAAATAAAATGAGCACTATGCAGTTGTCAGACCAGGTATCTTTATATATAAACAACAAAACCCCAAACCTAATACTGCATGGAACATTTCTTTTGTCATACTACAGTGTCACTACTAGCAAAGCAGAAGTGTCTGTTCACATCAAACGAATGGATCACAGTGGAGAAGTTCGGGGGGGAAGAACTTTTTAACCAATGACACAAACTGATGAAAGCAACGGAGTAACTTCCTAGGCACTGATACAGAGGAAACCTGTTTAGACTGTCTCAACAGTTCATTCTGGTCTTCTTGTGCATGAAAAGAAGCATTTTAGTCAGTTTAAAATACAAAAAGATAACACCACCAGTCAATTCAACTGTGATGGGAATCTGAAATACTATAATTTATTAACATGAAGGGTATTTTTAACTATATTGTCTTATTAATCAGCAGAACAGCTGGGTGAGTTAAGAAGTAACTCCCTTCGTGAACTTGGAGACTAATGACTTGCTCAAGGTTTGTAAAATTAATCTGCAATAAATCTTAGGCTTCAATGTCCCCCAGTTCTGCGACCATATGGCAGAGTTACAGCTGTGCAGAGTCTTTATATTCCCCTAATTACTTAATAATTTTAATGTATAATATGTAATTTATGCTAAGACTGTTAGCCTTTCTCCTCAGAAGTGAGTTGTAGGGTATGACATAATTGAGCTAGCAGACACAGTCATAAGTACTCAAGAAACAATTTTTTCATCTTAAAAATTTACTTATACTTTTCAGCATTGTCTTTTCGGAGTGACTTGATAAAATGAACGTGAAAAAAACCCCAACTTCACAATTTCAAGCAAAGAACACCTTCTTCCCCTACCAACTAATTCAAATGGAACTAGGAAATACAAGTCCTACACAAGAAGTTCTTTCAGAGTTGAGCACAGGGCAGGCCTTCATTTTGAGCACAGGAATCACAAAACAGAGCACGCACTGTGCTTTGAAAGCAGAAGTGATTCAATAAAATCTTATATATCTTTCCATTCTTGCTCATAGCTTTGCTTGTGATTAGCCCTCATTATCCACACATACATTCAGGTCCTTTTGTATGCTCATATCTCTTTGATTAAGAACATTTTTAATTGTTGTAATGGTGAAATCAGGTGAACAGATTTAATGTTTTTTTCTCTCCTGTTTGTTGTGTTTTGGCATTTGGTTCCTGCTATATTTCAGTTTGCTCTAGGTCATCTACTGGAATTCTCTCCAACAGATGAACTATACCATATAATTTTTTTTCTGCATGCTGAAATCTCACTTAAAGCTTGCTTATCTCGTTCAAAAGAGAGCTTCTTAAATTCAGATTGAAATTTCAGCTAAGTGGTATGACAAAATTGGCAACTACTTCAAATTCAGAATCTGCTCATCAGTAGCACCTTAGAGCAGAACTCTAATGCCACTTCACTGACACAATCAAGAGTTAACCACAGTATGTGATTTAAGTGTAATGATATTATACTTTAAATCTGTGATTCTAAAGCAGAACCTGGAAACTAGCTGAGAAGCACATCTTTCAGGTTGATAAAATCCTTCAATTCCTGCAAGAGAGCTTTTCCCAAGAGACCCAATTTCTCCTTTGCAGGGCATGTTACTGGATATACCCAAACCATGGGATACAGTTACAATTTCTTACAGAGCCACTGTAAGCAAATAAATTTTCTTTTTTTTCCTCTCAGACGGGCAATGGCACATCATAAGAAACTTATGCCATCATATTACTATGCACTTACAGTTACACCCCTTTTGACTTTAAAATGCTACTTGTGTTAGTAACAACAGCCAGGCCAGCTAGGGAACAAGATGACAAACAAATTTCTCTTTAAGATAGCTATTTCTCCATTAAAGGCATGTATCCGGGGTTTTGTTACTTAGGTGACTTGAACAGTCTGCCTTAACATCTGAAAACAGTGGCCGTATTTTTAAACACCTTTAAATTTCCTTCACCAAATAAGCACACACTAAAGCTGCAAAACCAGCACCCGCTTTGAACCAAGACCAACCCTCTGGCAGGCCCTAAAAACCCTCTTCAGGCACAGGCCTTGTGCTGGCTCCTGCAGAATGGCTCCTCTTCTTCCTTACTCTCATCCTTCCAGTTACAGTTCCCTCCTTACAAACACCTTATTTTATTCAGCAGTACCTGAATATCCAAACGCCAAGAGTGACTGCTTAGAATCACAGAATTATTTAGGTTGGAAAAGACCCTTATGATCATAGAGTCCAACCGTAAACCTAACACTGCCAAGAACCTAACATTGCCAAGACTTGGTCAATGCTCTGTTTGTTCAATACTCGCTGAAACAAGTGGGCCTGAAATGTCATATTCTGTAGCACTGCATGTAAAGTAACATTTGAGCCATGATTAAAAAAATTTACGTTCATAGAATTCTCTAGTGCAAAGAGGGCACAGCAATTAGCCAAGGGATGCAAAAGCATATTTATTCTTCCTCGACATATTTATATAAGCAAGGATGGGGCAGAAGAAACCAAAGAACTCTCTGTCAGAAAGAATTTATGTAAAAAGGGAGCAAGCAAAGGACGGCTTTATTGATTTAATTTTATGAAGAACTTTTTATAATACATAATTGACTAGGTAAATTAATATTTTTAGAAATACAAGTATCAGGAAATATATGCATCACCTTACTAAGGCTAATGTTTGCTATTTCAAACTCAACTGCTGGCCAAAATAAGTTCCTGTAGACTAGAGTAGAGCATTTTAATAAGGTGACTCCAAGCAAAACAGCAGGAAATCTAGTCAATAAAATTATAGTAAGCTGGTATGCTGCTGCTTACAGATCTGATATACTATTTGCACAGAGCATATAGTTTACCTTACTGTTTCCTGAGTGTACGCTCTTGGTTAAGCATAAAGAATTCTTTTTTAATGTAAAAACAGAAGTAGAGGGAGAAGGAGATAAAAGTTGGAACTATCCATTAGCTAAAACACTCATTGCTTTTGGTGAATCACAGTAACTTAAACCAAAACATCTTATGTGTATCAAAGAAATCTAAAATTCAACTAATTTAATTTGGCTTATTTATGTTTATAATCCTACATACATGCAAATGTAAAATTTAAGGGGTAAAATTATTACTATGCTTTAAAAACCAGTGAAAATCTGGAAGATGTCTTACTTGCAGAGAGTGAAAGACAGCATCCACTGCAAAGAACAATAAATTTGAAAATGCAAGGCAGACAAATAATACCAGAAGAAACAGAAGCATGCAGTAAGAGGTGTGTGGTGAAACCTGGTTCAGTGACACACAGCCATAAGAGAACATTTCTTGGCTCCCAGGTTCAGCAATCTGCTGCTTTGGATTCCTGAAACCAACTTCACTAGTTTGAAAAGGCCCTTATTTAAATAAAAAAAAAAAAAAAAAAAAAAGTATTTAAAAACCTTCTATCTTTGCATGCTTTGGAATACTGAAACACTTGGAAAGAACAAGTTTTCATTTAATTAGACCAGAAATATTTCAAGGTATGTTAATAAATATTTCAATAAGAAAGACAAGGTGTCTTTCATTAACAGGTTCGTTTTTAAACTTGCAAAGCTTCGGACAAATACCTGAACTTTTAGACCACCAAATCATGTTCCACACTGGTTTTTGGCTATCACTGGTTTCCCTAAGTTGTGGTGGGGAATTCACTGTGAAACTTTCCTTTAGAATTAAGGGTGTTAATACTATAAATACGTCTGCTTAATTTTCTGGCCGAAAGTCTGTCTCAGATTTTTGCTATTTAGTTTTAGCACTGGGAGAGGTCAAAACAAAGGGGAGCGATCTCTCTAAAAACAAATGGCAGAGTTAATTTATGATTTAAACTATCAAAGGCATGAAAGATGTTACAGCTGTCAGTGAGTTATAAAAGCTTGTCTTATTTGAAGCCCTTAGCTCTAAGTCATTTAAATGTCACCAAAGAAAAGCTCTTATTCTGCAAACCAAGATAGCATCACCCACAGCTGGCTTTGCACTGGATGCTGTCAGCTGTCAGACTCTGCTGACCTGTAACTCTTGGGTTAACTGAACATTATGTACATCTGCTGCCTCCGTTGTTCCATACTGATGGATCAGTTACATGTGAGAGCAGGAGTGACACTTCTTCATGTCTACATGAAGTATTCCTTCATTTATAACAAGTTGATTCCTTTGGGGACTTAGAAGTCTCTGAAGTCTCTCGACTCTTACAGAAAGCATCTCCTGAGGAAAAACCCTTATCATGAAACTTCATCTCAATAATTTGTGGTTTAAATTTAATACACTGACATTCATGCCACACTCGATGCATTTCAAATAATTTTGGGGCAAAAACGCCCAACAACAAAAAAGTATGTTTGTGATCTATGTACCCTTATTATATTGAAAGAAGAACAAACCCTTGAGAGTGAATAATAAATGCAATGGCTTGAATCATTCCAGCATTGTGTCAGTGTTTCCAGTGGTTTGTAACATAGTATAAAAAGCAAGCATCAAGCACAATTGTCTAATTGTGAAAAGATATAAAGCCTTAATACAGTACACCTAACTGGTTTTGATTTTGGTATTGGAAATAAACAGCATATTTTCTCGTTTAATTTTACTGTTTTGCTTATGGCATCAAGAGCCAGCTTTGTGTCTTACTGCTTCCTTGACATTCACTTGAACAACTTGCTCATCTCCAGCGCTGCTACTTCTGTTTCTTCTGTGGTGCTACACCAAAGCTCTCATTTGCCCATCATTCACCTTTATGTGATGCCCAACACCAGAGTTTTGTGGTATTACAACTAACTACCTTATATTCAAATCAAAACACTACTTCAAAAGAGTAGAGAAGCAAGTTTGTGCTCTGAGACACAAGAGTACTTCAGATCTAATGCATCAAGCAGAAGACACCTAAATTTGAAAAGGCAAAGTGACAGCAATAAAGGATCATGAAATAAGCATTTATTACTACTCTTAACAGTAAAATATATCAGCTTTCTTAGAAAATTTGAAAGGGAGAAAATTTGAAGTGACAGGGAAATATGACTTTTTTGTCCTGAAGATCAGCTTTTTTTGTGTGAGTGGAGTGATTAAAAAGCAAAGCACGTAAGAAATTTAAACTTTTTCTAACAGCTAAAATGTGCCACACAGGTAAGAATCAAGAGAGAACACGGTGACCATGCTTCATGCTTATCTATCTTATCTACCACGTTTGCTTGATAGGCACTGAAAGAAGATGAGCTGCTATTTGACTCTGAGAGGTAACAGTAACTGATGAAGATCTATTACACCTCTGTAGCTTGATACACATTTTAATTCCAGATCCTCTCATACATTTTTCTCCACAAGGTCTATTCACTTGGGCTTCCTATGACAAAGAGTGAATTTCAAACACCTTTAAAAAAAGGTTAAAGGTCGGGAAAGGAATCTGAAAAGTAGGAAATTAATCAAGCACCTATGTATCTTTCATCCTTCTTGTATGAAATACACATGTTTTTTGAATATTTGCCACTAAGCACTCACATAAATGTTAAAGTGGGGCTGTAGCCTCCCTGGAAGTCAGAGGTGGACATTCCACCAGGTCACAGTATTGGATCCCAAAGTTCGTAGCCAAATACTAGAAATCTATAGGAACATACCATAATACAAATAAAATTTTGCATTGAAAAATCTCCTTAATAAATATTATGTATAAGAATTTAGAAATGCATTTTCTAGTAACTAATGGAAATCTCAGAAGCCTATAAGCTATAGAAACATGTATTATTTCACATGCTCATCCTTCAATTAACTTTTGATTTTCAATAGCAAAAATTAAGTGCTTTGATCTAAACAGCAGCTACAAAAATATAGCTATTAAGTTTCTTCTTTCCAAAAAGCGATGATTAATATTTAATTGCCTATTTTCACTTTTCAACACTACTCCTTCATAATTAACACATACTCAGGTAATTTAAGTTCTAGCCCAGGATATTCTATGTCATTACAAAGCTAAGTGAAAATACTGACAAGCAGCCTTGCTTTGAAGCATTCTGGCCCTGTGTTACTGCACAGATACGGCTGTTCCCACAAGCGACACTGTGTAGGATAGATGCAAAAAGTTTCTCTTTAGAAACTGCACTGCAGAGGCAGCACAGCTACAGCCTTGGGAAAGTCAACAGCCATGTAGCAAGAAGTGAGCTAACTGCAAGTGAAAAAATCTGCCTAAACATCTGCTAGCTTTATAAATAAACTTGCCTTTATTTTTTTTTTTTTTAATGAGTCTTACCTGACACAGAGACTGTGTGTGACCTTACTCCTTGCTTCTCATTGTTGGCCAGCCTGTAAAACAGAGGTTGGAATCGCTGAATGCTGTACATTCTTCACGGTCACATACACTGGCAATTCATCCTAACAGGGCACCTACTGTAATTAGCAGGGCCAATCCATTTCCCACAGTGACAGATTTTGAGGGGGAGAAAAGTCAGAAAGGAATCTACCATCTCAAACCCATCTGGGGGAGTAAGAGCGGAGAGAATGAGTTACCGTTTTAATTAGCATACCGATTCACAACGACAGAGCAAACTTCATGGAAAAAACCATAACCTAAGTTTTACAAAATTTTAAGATCAATCCATGCATGTCTAAAATTTGTCAATGTATATAATCTGATGGTGCTTCTACTTTCTGTATTATTTACTGGAAATAAAGTATGAATTGAGTTTTTTTCTGGAAGATTACTTACCCTTTATAACAATTTTAAATTGATTTACATGTGAAGTAAATTAAGAAAAACGATTAAATTTAAATGTAGCTAGTTATAAATGTTCATTAGTAACAGAAATTCCAATGAATTTTTCTGATTTTTTTTTTCATGTATATGCACAAGCATCATTCTCATGGTAAAACAGCAAGAGTAATGCACTTCATGCTTTCAGAAATCTGGAATTTCATCTGGCAAAGGCAAATTTTTCCACATGCAAGACAGTGCTTGCTAATAGTTTTATATATTTGACAAAAGCTTCTGCCAGTGTAAGAGCATATGTGGTGCCCTTGTTTAAACAGACTCAAGTGTATAAATTCAATTTTGGTAAACTGTTCCAAAACTGAGAAGAAGCTTTTCCTTCGAACCTAGTTTTATCCCAGAAATCCCTACAAATAAAAGAAAGATAAAATGTATGTAATTAGAAAGTTATTCTCTGTTTCTCGGTTCTATCTATTTAAGTAAAAAAAAAAATTTTCCTCTTCCATGAGTGCACACTAAGTTTACCAATTTTACTGCTTCCATCCTCGACTTTCATTTTCTTTTCCTCCCTGCATTTTCACTCCTCTCTTTCTGCACCATGACAAAGCTACCTGGCTAGTGAGGACTGCAGCAGGACCTGTGAAGGAAGAGCAACCACTAGTATCTAAGTGGCTGGTTTCTTACAGATTCAGGACCAAATTGTGTTCCATACACCATCCAATAGTTAATAAAGTAATAATAACAATTCTGGACTCCTTCCAGGAATCAAGGAAGAAACAGAACGAGGTGGCTGAGTCAAAGTAGGCACAGTCCCTGTGTCCCAAAGGAGAAAAGGAAGAGATAAGACACTATAAACTGCTAAATTTCATGTGGTATTTCAAGAGTTATCTCCTGCTACTGGATACTGGTGATACTGCCTGATAAGGTTCAAGGAGGACACTCTCATGACACGTGACTTTACACTGGGTCTGAACGTGGCTACTGAGAAAGCAGCCAAATTATAAATGAGCAAAAAAAAGAAGTGACTTGGTTAAAGGACTGAAGTTTAGGAGGCCACAATAAGGAACTGCACATGGAAAGAGGAGACAACCATTACAACTTGTCAAATAGGATGGGGACCTAGCCACTGAATCCAGGAGTGTAGAGAAGCAGCAGGAAGAATTAATAAGCTCGTCTACCACTGCATTATGGACTACCAACTCCAACAACATAAGTATTCTTAGTTCAAACAGCTAAATTAGAGATCTTATTTACCTTAAAGCTTGGGTAAGAGAACAATGTAGAGAGGTATCTTAGCATACTGTATAAGAATTATTAGATGCAGATAGCATGTCTCAGCACACCCTGGATACAGTATCACCATAAAACTAGCTTGAGAAAATAATGCAACTCTATTTGCCTGACATACATTAGCATCTTCCACAAATCCACAATTACTATCGAAGAATTTTACTACATTATTATATTGAAAAAAATAGATTAAAAAGTATTTGCTATGTAAATGGTATTCTTTAATACACTGAACCTAGAGATCCCACCTCAAACCGGCCCCACTATGGAAATTTTTATTAACAAAAAGTGAGACGACGGATTTATGATAGCAGGAAAAAAGAAGTATTTTTTCTATTTCACATAAGCAGAAAAGGGGACAAAGAGGAAAAACAAGAGCATAGACTGACTCACATATTGAAACCACAATGCAAAGACCGTTTAGCATCACTCCCATAGTTAAATTTACTCAGGGACTCAAAATAAATAGCCTGAATCCCAGTCAAGTCTTTCCCAAAACATCCTTCTTTTGTCACTGTCAAATATGAATGATGCCTTATACATTTTTTCCCTCAGATTTTATTTCTGGTATCTTTATAGTTTAATACTACTCTCAGTCATCTATGCCCATGGTCCCAAATCACTGCCTGCTATCTATCCTAGAATCCAAAAGCAACAATAAAAATGAAACACATATAAAAAGTCCTAAAGTATCACTTAAGCAAAAATATTTTTCAAAGCATTTTTTAAGTATATAAGAAAAGAAAGCATAAAACTTACTTTGGTATTGATGGTAAAGCTCTTTCACCTTCTGTGTAAAGAAGAAAACAGGATTAAAATTTTTTAAAGTTTCCAAATAACCTCTCTCAATGTGCAATATATACATGCCTGAAAGAATAATCATTGCAATCCCTCAAGGAAACATGTTGATTCAAAAGACTGTTCCATACATATATTAATAGCAGCATATCAACACAACTCCTTCTAATCAGTGATATAGACCTTTTCAAACCTTTCTGCAAACTCTTATCTGAGAGAACAACATATATAGAATATAAAAGTTCTTTTTCATTCGTACCAAATAACTCCGATAAATCACCTGCAGAAGGTATGACAGTATCTCATTTCTCTACCAAGAAATGCTTTTCTTTTATCTCCAAGATGTGCTAAATGCTAACATATAAATGAAACAATTGAGGCCAACTTGGACTTCCAAGTAAGACAACTTAAATAAATCATGAAAGCATGTAACTTTATCATATTGATTCCACAGTTGGTTGAGATTATACAATAGTAATGCTCAGTAGCCAGAAACTAAGTTAGCTTTTTGTAAACACTTTTCAAATTCCTGCCAGTCTTTCTTTGAGAATGGCATTGTGTACAAAAGCTTGGATGTATATACTGAAGGGGTTTTTCTCCCTGTTTGGATTTGATGAGATACTCGATATCCATGTGGGGAAGGATGATGGGGGAAGTCACTAAGCCTTTAGTAAGACACCAATGATTTACAGTAGATTGAAATGTGCAGGGAATGAGAGAAGGTGGGCAGTTAAAATGGATTTCAGTCTCTAAATTGCTGTAGCACTGATAGAGTGACTTGAGAGAAAATGGAATAGCCATGCTTTTGGAAACTGGTGGTGTATACCGTTTTCACAAAATCATGTAAATCATGTAAATTTCTGATATTTCAGACATTACAGAAACAAACGACAGTCTCACCTTTGTGTACTGTGGGATTGAGCAGAGAAATGCCTTACACCCAGAAGGCATGCTCAACATGTACTTTAATACTACGGTATTTTTATTTCAAATTTTTTGCTGTCTAAAGGTAGAAGACCACCGTTTGGCTCACCAACCTAGGTTTGGTTTGATCTGTCTGATGAGGGGTGTTGAAAAGGAAGATGCAGGAAAGAAGGTCAACAAGAATCTGTGATTTGGAAGGTGACCCAGTGAAGCTCAGCAAAGTGACTAGAGCAAACACCTGAAATCAGGGGGCGGAGGAAGGACAGCAAGATTATACAAGAAGCATGAGTTGGGAGATAAAGTTATTGTGATATGTTAAGATAAATGATACCTTTTGGGGAAGGAAACAAAAGTCAAAGATCCTTAGAGGTAGTGTGGACTAATGACTATGAGATCAAAGTCATGAAGGTGACAGCCTGGCAATAAAAGACTGGGCCGTAGGTACCCAAAAAACAGACTGTCACAGGCACTAGGCAATTCACACTGGATGAAACTAGGCAAAAGACATCAAGCTTGGAGAAACAGGATTAAGAGTCCTGCCCACTACTATGTAGACCTCCCTAGGGTTGTGAAGAACTCTCCAAAGAACATAAATTCCACCTGATATCTACATCAGCTATCAGTCATTATTTGTGAAAGCATCCTGTGTTCATCGCATCAAGCTTTGCTGCTACTGCCAGTTATTCCAACACTGCTCCTACATTTGGCAATGGATTTAGTGGTTTAGATGTTGCTGATGAATTGCATGTATTACTGGTAAAACATACTTGCAGTCTGTTGGTTTTAAAGGTTTAGAAAGTGATACAAACATACAAACCTCTTTGTTAAATTGCACAGTTAACTTCATTCCATATTTGTAAATCAAGATAACAGATTCACAATTAATAAGCAGCTATTCAAAATAATTCTCCTTTCTCTTTAATATGTAGCTCCATCAGATATTAACTGCATACTATTCAAACTCTATTCTAAAGATATAATTTTAATTTCCTCTCGGGTTTTTTTTTACGTGTGGAGCACATCAGTAACATATTTGGGGACTTCAGAAACATCAGTGAATGATATCATAACATTTGCAGGGCCACAGTGATTCATATGTTCAAGCTACTGACCTCAGCTGCAGATCAGATTGTTTCTCCTGCAAATGTAGACCCGAACCTCTTAAGAAAATGAGAAATACCATAGGTGGCAACTGCTAGTGTATGCTGAAGTCAGTTATTACCTATCAAAAAAAATCTAAAAGAGATAAAGACAGAATCTAACTTCCCGGTACAGTATTAAATTTCCTTAACGATGAGAATCCCATCCTATTCCTGCAAGTGTCCACTTATTGAACAGTTTCTTATCAGTGAAAAATATAAAGCAAGGATCGTAAGAGATCTCTTTCACAATAAAATCCTAATTCCATCTTACTAGCAAACCCATTCTACACATTTTGTGAGATAAGAAGGATGTGAATAGAAGTGGTATCACATAGTTAGTTGAGGAGTAGTAGTATGATGCGGTTAAAGAGAATGACAAATGTGAAAGGAATTGAAGATGGCTGCAAAACTGTGAAAGGAAACGATGGGGATGGACAGAAAAAAGCAGAGACTCTAACCCAAGTTAAATGAATGTTTATTTCCAGATTGGTTGGAAAAACAGACAGCTTGCATGGGTCCAACATAACTAACACACTGTTATATCCAAGCATCTTCCTTTTCACTGTCCTTCGCCAAATTCCATGAGGCATGAGTGATTTTGTTCTCATTAGTAGCAAAGCAACGCACTGTCATGCACCGAACAAAACTGGGCTTTGTCCTCTGGGTTGATGGGGGTAGGAGGGGTGGACAACGCACGTTCAGCCCTGGAGAGAAGGAAGGAGCACACGACACTGCTATTAAGCCAGTTTGATGTATGCATTGACTGGCTACATGGACAACATCCCTCTTTTGGCTGCTGAAGATATGCATCAAGTGGAGGGCCAGGTATGGACAGGGGAAAAAGAAAAGTAAGCACATGTGTAAAAAAAAAAAAAAAAATAAGCAAGCAGAAACCTACTCCTACTATCAAGTAGTATTAGAAAAGCCTCCCTTTTCACTGAAGAAAATTCAGGAAAAATCTATTTGCATGGAACTACTGTTGAAATGGTATTCCAAAGCCGATCTTATAGACGCCTACATGCTCTCCAGATACAAACTGCTCACTTCAGGCAGTGTTTCCCAAGTTGGTGCTCATACGTTTACAGCTTATATCCCAAATAAACTACGAAACATTCATTAGCACCCTTGTAGGTCTGGAGTCAAAATTCATTACTAACAACATCACAGTAAAAGCATATGTTGTTTTTTCACAAGTTGAAACCCAGAACATTTTGCCCAGTTCTATATGCAGTTAAAAAAAAAAAAAAAGGATATGCATGATTTCACTGGGGTGTTCATGTCCAGGGTTGGAGCGGGGCTGCAGGGCGGCCTCTGTGAGGAGAGGCCGGGGCTGCCCTGGGCCGGACACAGCCGGTCCCATGATAATTTAGATTTTGATGTTGGGAACTTCTGTTGATATAAGTGGAAGTCGTAAAGAATGTGTGATGAATGTACGTTTTAATGATAATTATCAAGTATGTGTGTCACAGAGGCAAAGGGTGGAATGGTGTGGAGGCAGCTGTGACCGGCATGGGGCAGCCCCTGGTCTGCTCCCACAGCAGCCACCTCTGCAGCCAAACCCTTGGCATGTACACCCAGTACCTTCCAGCACTCCTATAACCTCTGGCTCCAGGAGACATAATTTTAATTTACCACAGTGCAAACTGTCTTGCATCTGACTGAAACTATTGTGAAAGCAAAATCAGCAAGGGGATAAATTAGTCAAAGTGGTAACAGCATCGTAAGAATTAGAATACATGTTGCCATTCCATTAAAATGAAAACCATGCTCACAGTTAATTTGCGTGAAAACAAAAAATGCTTATTTGGAGAACTTCATGGAATATTTAATTTTGGTATTTTGAAATTCAAAACTCTATGTTTTCATTTAGCTGTAAACCTTTTAGATTCAAATGGAATGTTTTAACATAAAGGTGAGTTCTGGTATAAATGAATGACAATCAGATAACTGTTTCAGTTGCTCAGGTGATTTTTTCCAGTCTTTTTAGCCTTTTGTAACAGTTTTGACAAGTTTGCATTACCTATAAAGCTTGTTTAAAGTGATTAATAGATACAAAATTAATCCACTAGACTCAAGATCACAGGAAAGCTACTTAGTGCATAGTCCAATCAGTAAATAGTCACTATCAGTTTAAGTTTTTATTTATTTCTCATTTGTGCTCTTTGCATCTAAGAGTTAATGTGAAAATGGAAACACAAATACTAAGTTTCAAGTTTCCACTGGTCTAAACAGACCTGTATACTAAAATATTTATGAAGAATAAACCAAATTAAATGGAAATATGCCAAATACTGTCCAGATCTTAAACATTACCAAGTGCTCTCACCAAATTAAGAGAAACTGGATCAATAACAGATAGCAGGACAGACAATATAATAAAAACACATGTTCTTTTATTAATCAAGAAGGATAATTTGTGAGGAGACTTGCAATAAACATGTAAATTTACAACAAAGAGGGGATGGGAAGGCTCAAAGAGGTGAGCAAACACATCTGTTGGATTGAAAGTTGCTACATGATTTGTTTCTCACGTGCCTTATATAAACAAAGCTCACTGTGGGAGGGATCTGGGAATGCAGATCATGGTGAGGACGGCTCTCCTAAAAAATGTGTAATTGGTATGTTGAGTATTGCTATGAATTTCAAAAAAATAAACCTCAGAGAAAAGATCCTCACAATTTATTTTAACTGGAGGGATTCTCTTCATGTTTGCATAAAGAGGAGTGTTCTCAAAGTACTATATAACGTTCCTTTAACTCAATCACTGCTCATTTACTCTATGTTAAAATACGCCATTAAGGATACCATACAAATAAACACACTCCATTAAATGCATTTATTTATTTTGCATTCACGCCTACTAGCAAACCATAATGCATGGCAGAGCTGTGCAACACAGAAAAATCAGAGATCTTGTTCTTCACAGAGCTTAGTGATTCTAGAAGATATAACAGCTGAATGATAAGCAAGTAAGATCAGAGGAAGACAAGAATTAGAAGTGCAAATAGGGTGGGTCAATTTTTTTGCCACCTACAGCAGCAGGAACTATGCGCTTTGCTAATCTTAGACAGCAGTTGATTGTATGCTTCATGAAACAAGTAAGGATAGAAGAGGAGATGCTAAATCCTGTAGAGCTTTTGACTGGCAGCTGCTCCTTTGCTTGGGCAAGAACAGCAGAGGACAGCAGAGCAGGGTTTGGCTGAGAAATGGAAACACACGTGGCTGGAGCACAACCAATGTCACAATGCACAGCACTGGAAGCTTGCACGCTGCATGAACTAAGACTTGATGAAGGCCCTGACTACCCACGGTTGCTGTTTTGAATGACAGAATTCTAAATCATCAGGCAGTGGTATTTTGTGGAGTTAAGAGCACCTATGTATAGGTAAGAAAAGAAAAGCCATTCTAGTAGCAGAGGAGCATAGCACTGGCCATGTAGACTAAATGGACCAAATTTCTGAAATACCACCAGTGCAGAAGTGGCAAGAATTAGACACACTCTACATGTGTACTTCTAAGGAAAAAGCAGAGGATAAAGTCAGAGCTACCCATTAACTCAGTAAGACTGAGAGGTGGGGACAGGTAATGTGTTAAGATATGAAAAAGTTTTAAAAGCTCAACTTTGGCTACTATAGCTCAGGCTGAAAAACAGCTATTCCACTGGGTATTAGAAGGAAAGTTTTAGGAATGAATAATAAGAACTGTAACAAATCCCAAACCATAATTTTTCAAAAAAGAAGAGGCACAAAAGACAATCACCCACAGGTATAGACTAAGTCTAGTGAAATTAAAATCTTGGTTTGCGATGCTTATTTTATTTTTAGAACAATAAACTATCATTATCACTGATGCTAGCTTATCCTTTTGGTGTCAAAATTTGGTACCAACGGTTCATCATCACCGAGTTGTGCACCAGGTTGGCTAGAAGAGCTGAGTTTGTATTGATGGAAGATTTTCCTTTGTATGGAACAAACATACAAATTTAAGAATAATTTGAACAACTACTAAATGCTGTCAAAACATCTTAACACCCCGCAATCAAATTTCTTCATTACTGAATGACCAAGTTTCAGTTTCGGGGTTTTTTCTGCCATGCACAGGCAGGATGCTCTACATGGACCTGGGAAAACCAGTGGCACAAAAAAGCAGAAACATGGCTAAAACAGGACTCAGCTTCAGATTGGAGAGCTTCTGGGATAGTTCAGCTACTTTCTTGTATTACAAAGAGGGAAGAAGGAAATAGTTTAGTCACTGTTTTAGAAACCACAGAAGTTGGATGAATTTCCATGAGTAAAGATTAGTATAGGAAGACAGAACTTTCCATTCTTAAGCAGATTTGCTTGGATGTTTTTCAATAATTCAAGCTGGTTGAAAGTAGAAAAAATTCTAAAGGAATTTAATTAAAATTCTCTCTTTAAACACTTTGCAGGTGTACCTGCACCCTCATCTCACTGCTTCCAGCTTGTGGGTTGATACAAAAAGCCTGATCAACACTACAAAATGCACCTGTTTTACTTCTGCTTTTTCCTCTCAAAATTTTTACTTTTTTAACAGAGACGTTTTGAGTATCTAGGAGGAAGGCAGAAATTTTTAAAAATTATCACTAGTCAGAACACTATCCAACTGCATTCTAACCAACCTCTCTGAATTTCCACTTGTATATTAGGAAATCGCATTTCAAGATAACATGTCCTTGTTAAGAGTGTCTTTTAATCACAATTTGCTTCTGCTAGTGAAGTTTAGAATAGTGCAAAGCAGTAATTTTTGCTGTAGTGACATGTACTATCAGTGTTTCTCATTACAAAAATACCTCATGGTTCCTCCATGAAAAATAAGGACCTCCAAATGAGGGTTTTGTTGCTGCCTTATGTCTTCTATTCAAGTATAAAATAATCTAACAGTAGATATGAGTATAGCAACTACCTGAATTAACATCTCCTTACCTTTCTGTGGCCTGATAATAAAAGATTGCGTAGCTCCATTCACCAGTCGGCAATATCCATCTATCAAGTCAGCCATATTCTCTGCAATGGTTAAGGATGGTGCTGTCACTGTCAGAGGCTAAAGAAGGAAAAAAACAAGGCACCAACAAAGAGGTTTTATTGTAGTTGCAAACACTGAGTAGAACAGCTGTGTCATTGCATCAGAACTTTACACACACTTGCAAACAGTAAACAGAAAAATGAGGGTTAGCAAAGAACTACCAGATTCTTGCTTTACCTTTTATGTCACAAATTTAAAACCCAAGGTTCAGAAAGCACAGCTGATAAAACTCTCCACCCAAAAGTAATATTAATATGGGCTTATTAAGTGGCTTGCTAGCTAAACTTTCAGTCAACCACTGTTCATTACAACTACTATGACTCTTATGGTTATAATTATGACAATTCTGGAGCTGCTGCTTATTCTTTAAAGCTCTTATGAATGGTATCTTTTTTTTACCCTTTTGCAGCAATTTATTCTTTGCCCTAAAAAAGTAACCTTTCTAATTTCAAGAAAGATAAAAATGAAAGAGGGACAGTGGAAAAAGAGATGAGACATATACAGACAAGCTATTAATTTTAATACTGTCAACATTCATCATCCTCTGCACAGATCTGCCAACTTGCCCTCAATGCTCCTCTTACCACAGTGACTGTTTTCCAGTGCACTGGACCAAGAAAAAGATTTGATTTCACTTACAGTTCTGCTTCCATGTAATACGACAGAACAAATTTTCCATCTTTCGTATTTCCCCTTTTCATGAAAGTGAAATTACTCAGTTTCCTCTTTAGGACATAGCACCATATACACACGCAGGCTACTATTAAGTTGCACTTAAAGGCCAGTATTTTTAAATTAACTTTATTCTACAAATATCAAAGTCTACAAGCACCTGATGCAAAACCTAAAACATGCAGTGAGCTCTAAGTCTACTTTAAAAAGAAAAATATCTGGCTAGTATAATGATGACTGCTCACACTCAACCTCCCTTTTCCCTTAAAGAACAAGAAAAAATCAATCACCTGCAGAATGCCTTGAATGCAAAATGTTCAAATATAATGCACTGGCTGTAACTACAGGAGGAGTAAGGGAGTTTAACAGTAACTGAAGTCTTTGTACACCTGCACAGATAGTCAGTGTCCAGCTTAAATGTGAATGTACAAAAGTGAAGTATATATTTAGTGTATCATAATTACGCTGACATTAGAAAAATCCAGAATGAAGTTACAGACCAGAAAAAAAGTACAATATATATAATATTTTATTAAGAGTATACTAATCTACACCCATTCCCAGGAAAACCAAAGCTAGTAAGTTTATCACAACTGTCAATATCATACCTCAGGTGCACCTGCTATCTTGAGTTGCAACATCCCTTTTCTGTCCTTGTCTTCACTGTTTGAGTACTGAATAGTTTGCACTTGGTTGAAGTCTGCTAGATGAGTTGGCTGCAGATAGGCAACAGAAAAATTAGGGAAAATGTCAAAATTACAGCAAACCACTTTGCCTTTATTCCTGATGTTGCAAAAGCACATGTAGACTTTGATCTTCAAATTATACTTGCAGAAACCTGACCTAGTGGAAGGTGTCCCTGTCCAAGGCAGGGAGGTTGGAACTACATGACCTTTAAGGTCCCTTCCAACCCAACCCACTCAACAAAATCCGTTCCTTTGTTTCTTTCCACAGTTTTCTTAGGCTTTGGCTAACAACATATAGAATTAGCCACAGTATTTGCAAAATGAAATCAAGCATCAACTTTGCCTACAGAGGTCACTGTTGAGTAACTTCAGGCCCATGCTGAAGTACATTGTGGAAACAACCCCTAGAAAGTCAAGACAGAAAACTCAACAGGTTAACCACACGGAACCTGCACTCACAGTGTACTTAATATACCTCCAGACTGCTGTAAAAGGTATGTTCTTAGCTGGCTGTGTATTTCTATCTCCAAACCTTTTCACCACCTTTGAATTAATTTCAACAGACGTTGGACATGGGCTCAACTTAAGTCATGATTGTGAAGATCCAGCACATTTAGCTAGAAAAACCTGTCTGAACATAACTTCCCTGCAGCACAGAGTTGCACAGGAAATACTGCAACACAGACAATATCAAGTAATGAAAAGGCTATTAAGGGTATGAAGTGAAGCAGGCAAGGCAGCAATGACTGTACATATGCTAACCATTAACTGATTAAATGAGCTCTTAATTTACAGGTTCCCCCTAAGTACAGGGAGAATAATTTAGAATAATTTGCACATTTCATTGTTAAAAAGCCACCATTAATGCTTCGAATTCCACAAGTGAGCACTTCACTGGGTACAAAAGTCAACAAATTCAGTGCTAAGGCCGACACTGTCTCTCTACTTAACCCAACTGCATTTTCTCTGATGATCCCAAATCATGAGTTAGTATCTGAATAACAGCTGTGTATGATGGATTTCTCAGCTCTTCTCTGTTTAACTCAAAGATCAGACTTGTCATTGCCCTTTGTGTGAAGTTCAGTTCACAACAGGTCATGGCTATTAAGACAGTAACTGAGAAAACAGAAGTAGACTTACATTTGCACCCTTGTCTGTAAGGTAACTGATTCCTTCTTCTGGGCCAATTGCCAATTCCACTGAAATAATCCAGCTTGACTTCAGAATAGAAGGAGAAAGACAGTAAATTTCAATAGTAAGAGAAGACCTTGCTATGGAACACTATCCCCCAATGTTATAATTACAGTTTTTAGTAATTCATCTCTAGAAACTTTTAAACTCTTCAAACAATTTAAAATATATTAAAAGCAAGTAATTCTGTAAGTAGCAAAAGTCTTCATGTCTGGTTTCCTGGGGACCCACGCTACTTATAATAAAATGCATTTTCATGTGTTTTATCTTAGGTCTACATAAAAACTACGTATTTCCTCCTCTCTTCTCATGGACATTGATGTTTGTGTTCTAATTTCTACCTAAGTGTTTATTTTCACAAAGCTTGCAGACTTAATGCCCTTTCTCAAAATATGTTTGAAATTGGTACATTTAAAAAGGCATTAGAGCAAAATTTACAAACAAAAGAAACTGAGAAGTCTCATTCCCTCAGGAAACCAGGTTGAAAATTGCTTGACTTTCACAAACAAAGCACCAATAAAAATGTCATAACATACAAGTCTTACCCTACTAATGAATGGTGCTTTTTTAACAGTCAACTGAGAATGTTCTAAATAAAATCAGTAAATCTATTTTGTTGCTACTGAAATCCAAGGACTCATCTCTACATCAAAACAGGAACTAAGCAAGCAATCAGTTGCAGAACTAAGCAAAACCAATTACACTCATAACTACAGTACATATTCTGGTGACCGTCACATTCCTCCTCTACTTACACCAAGAGCACACTTGAAGCATTCCTTGTCAAATCTGTACACTGGAGAGAGGATCTCAAAGAATTTCAAAATACTTTCTTCTCTATTGAGGTTGGCAAACTGTCGAAATGTTTGTTGGATTAATTTTCGTAGTGTTTTGGCCTGTATATTAAAATGTTTAAAAATCAATTATTTTAAATCTAGTTAATGATGGTGTATTTTAAGTGTTTCAGTCACTTAGTACCACTAATAGTTTATCAATGAAATTCAGACAATCCTGAAGAAAAAAAAAATGCTTCAAAAATATAAGTTACAGTTCTGCCTTCTAACCTCTGCTTGGGAACAAAATTATTTCTGCTATACATCGTAGAGGGACTATCTAACTTATAATGTTTTTTACAGATTATAATGAAAGCAACATGTTAACTTTTGCAGGAAGTATTTTTTTTAGATTCCTCCTTTCTCCCAACTTCTTAACCGTGTAACCAAGACAGAAATAGAGCAACCTACAGCTTCATACAAGATTTTAAACTTAAATCACCATTCCAATATCGGGTAGTAACAACCCAGGTGTAGCTGTATCTTGGGTACTGTACACAGTATCCTAGACTATCCATAATAGAGTGGATTCTTAAAGTCCGATAATACTCAAAATAACTTCCATATAAAAAGATAACATTTAAATAGTAAATTAAAAAAAATGTAATAAGTAAAACAAACATTTAAATTAAACTATTTTAAATATATTGCATATCATTTTTTAAACTGTTTTTAGGGCAGAAATAACTACTTAGAAAGAGCAGCACAAATCATCCTCCCAGCATCTGGGACAGTGGGACAGAGTAAAACACCTAATTACATATCCTGAAAAATAAAGCACGTAGAGGATAGAAGCAGGCTTTCAAACATCTGCATATAAAAAAAAAAAAAAAAAAAAAGATAACTAAAATAAGACTGATGCAAATTGAAGTATCTGCCTGTATATAATGTATAATCCCTGCCTGATAAGGCAGTCACCCATATCATAATAAAAACAGAATCTGAGAAGCAACCTCTTTAACTTGGCCCCAAACTGAACAAGCGATCAAGAATCCTGAATAAAAGTATCTGTTTCTAAACACTAAAAATCATTTAGACAAAACTGAAATACCTTCTACTCATCTGTCCTAAAAAGAGGCATGATCTGTAAGGAGTGTAGAGCCTTGCAACTCACTGTATTTTCATCCCTGTTTACATCATATAGTGCCAAAATGTCAAAACCACACACACATTTATTGTTTTTCCCTTTGCCAAAGCTCGACCTGTGTCTGAAGTGACTGCATGGATTTAAAAAACCTTAGTAATACCCAGTCCTAATATATCTTCCAACTATCAACAACAATAGAAGGCAAAACCATGCTTGTTTTTGCAATATGACAAGGTTAAGACAGGAATTACCATCATTCCTCTACAAAAACGTATCTAAACATCCTGTTGTAACAGCATTAAGTCCCTTTATTCTTTGACGCTGCCTGTAACAGCTCCAGGTACTACACAAATATAAACTTCTTTGTGTCATTAGCACTTCCAGTCAGATTAGGCATTCGATTTTAGTAAGCCTTTAAAGAACATTCAAAACTCTAAATAGCCAGAATTTTTTAAAAGGACTGTTCGGAAAAGAGTTACCCTAGTAGCAGTGATCCCAGTGCTGCATATTCACACACAAAAACATGATCAGTTTTGCAACGACGTGTATATGGGCCAAAAAAACCCCTCAGCTCGGCACATAAACTTTATGTTATAAAGTCAACAAAGAAATCTGCCATTTTGTTGGAATTTCAAATTACTGCATCACTTTAGCAGAACCTTTTACCAACTACCAGCTAGATCATTACTCTTAACAGGCTGCAGATACTTGGGTAGGATAAAGAAAGCATCTGGCAGTCAGGAGACCTCCGTACTGCGCCCAGAACTGCCTCAGACTTTGTTAGGACTCAGACATACTAAACTGGACCTTTCTGTTATCTTCCTTTTTACAGAGAAAACCGAGGTTAAGGGAACTGAAGGCCTCAGCCTGAACTGAGCACCTGGCAAATACCAGGAGCAAGACACTATAAAAGGAAAATAATCTGCTAGCTCAGGTTGTCAAATTGAAAGTAATTCAGCCACTCAGTTGTTGAATGATACTTTATTCTGCCCACTGTTTGTTCTCCTGGCCTGTTTCAGCATCATCTTGACTTACATGCATAATGCCATGTGTTATTTGACTCTTTAAAGTCCATAAAGACTTACTTTTCACTTTAACATTGAGATCATTAATAAAGTGTGAACATACAAAACCACATCTCTTCCATAACAGGACAGCCATTTATGAGAAATATCTGCAAATGGCAACTTCAGGGAAATGCACTGAAAATTTACTCTTAAAATATTTCCTAAGAACAATTTTTTTTCCTCCACTTTTGCTCAAGGCATACTCTAGAGTGACAGTGAAGACTCTTAATTTGCAAACTAAACACAATTACACTTACATCCGTTTCCACACATTCTCCTCACCCCCCAACTGTTGGTTTAGTGTAAGTAGATTTTTTCCCCCCATGGTGTTTGCACACTTGTTATACCTACATATGGAGAGCATGGCTTAGCAGTTATGTAAGAGGAACCATTTACTAATTTACTAATTTAAATGCAGGAAGGTTTCTTATTCTCTAGTGAAATAATGAAAATGGAAGGCCCGTTGCCTCAGTAACTTTTCCTCTGTACTTGAATTAGGCTGACTTATTCTTTCTTGAACATGGAACTATTTGCAGCATATATGAGATATCGTGTATTGTCTAATGACTTTAATGTTTCATCCTCAAGACCCTACACACCTCCTGGAACAGCAGGTGTGCTTTCTTGTGCAATGTTATGTCTTACAGACGCTCTGTGATCTGCTAATATATAGATGCATTTAAACTCCTTTTCCTTTTTTCTTTATTTAATGAGCTCTCCAAATAAAGCTGAACTTCCTCTTTTTATACCGCTGTATATCACCTCTTACTTTGTACTGTTAAATATTTTGATTTTCATTTTTCCAGCCTTTTGGTCATCCTATGTATAGAATGATATCCTCTATATAACTGGAATCTCTTAAACTTTTAACATCAACAAATTTGACTAACACTGCACTACACTCTGAGCTTTACCTTACTAATAGAGAGAAATAATTTTCTATTTCATGGCCATCAGCAGCCCTCCTTTGCTGGCCAGTTCAAAATCACTAGTCTTCATAAAGAGTGAGAGTTATTTAATCATTTGAACCAATCCTAGTTAATTTTCATTAAAAAGCAGACCAGTTTTTCCTTCCCTTCTTTTTCCCTCTTCCTATGTCCAACATTTTTTTCATATCTTCACAAGGGTCTACTCAGCTTCACCTGGTAACTCTTGCTATTTCTTTCTGCTATCCATTTCATGATTTCTAAACAGCAGTTTTCTTTGTTGGTCAGTTTTCTGGCTCCTTAATATTTTTAAGGACAGCTATTCATTCTTTTATGTCTGGAGCTTTTCACCACAATTTCCCTCTGTAGCAGAGAATACAGTTTGAGATAACTGCTTAAATCAAAATTCAGAGGGATTACTTAAATCCACTTGACTTCATTAGCTTCTCATTTTCAAAGGTCTTGTGAAACAAAACCCCTTCACGACAGAACTTTTCTGTTTATCCATTTCAATCATAACATAGAAACTTTCTAAATCTGAAACAGAATTCTATTATTTCTATGAAACCATCACTATTTACCAAAACCAGCTCTAAAATATCAATATATGATTTATACTTTCATGTATGAATAGTAAGAGATATTTTACCACGACATTCATATCAAGATGGCTATAATGTAAAAATACCTGGTGAGCATTTTTAACCCCCATTTTCAGAAAATGTCGAGAAAAATTTGCATTTTTACTCTGGGAACATATGGACTGCAATGGAAGGGAGATTCAAGCAGTATTTATAGTTTTAACTAGGATCAACGTAAGTGAAAATTACTGGAAAACTTCCTTGAATGAGTCGGATACAGTCCTGAGCAAGGAAGGCAGAATATGGTTTACTGAGTTGCCACTGAAAACATGCTGTTTTCTTATATGTCCCTTTCCTCTTTCTCCAAACATGTCACTTCTCTTTTAGGTGGAACAAATAATAATTAAAAAAAAAAGTTATTTGATGCCAGAGGGTCTGAAGACTCGTTTTGAACTTTTGCCCACAAGGTTTGAGAGTTGGAAGTGTCCCTCTCTCACAGTAGCTCCTCAAGGCCATCATAGTTCTGCTAGTGGAACTGCATGGCAATTCCCTTATGACCATACAGTGAAAATTATAAAGTAATTTTCAGATTTCTGACACTTATTTTTTTAAGTAATATACAATTGACTGGAACTATATTTACCTTCACCGAATCTAGTAAACTCTTCGGAAAAAAACGTCTTAATCCAACATCTTTCCTGAAACAAAACCAAACACAGTGTTAATATAGAAAACATTGTGCAATATTATATTGTTCTTTTTCAGGGTGGTGTTTTGAGTTTTTTGTTTTGTTTAGTTTTTTAACTAGCGCATGCAACATAGTAAATGATTTTCATAGTAAGGTCCTTGACAACCTCAGAGTAACAAAACCAGTTTGTTAACACAAACAACAGGTACTTGGTGTAGAAAGCGTATTATTAGAAATGCTGGCTTGAGCACAGATAAGTTTTCAAAATAAAACTTTTCTTTGTACATGTTTTAATAATTTAAAGAATATCGAAAAAATGTTCTTACGGCATGTAGTCAGTTGAGAAGGGAACAACATGAAAATGGCAAATTCTAATAAACATCTATTAGAATTGAGTAGCAGATACAACATAAAGGAAAGGACTTCTCATGATATCACCTCAGTAAGCATGTTAACTGATGTTCCACTACTATTTTACTCTTTGTAGCACTATAACTGAAGTTTTTTAAATTTCTACTGTCACTTCTCCTCATATTGAACATCTAATGTCGAAATTCCCAGCTTTTTAATGCAAGTAATCTCACTTCTTGCATCTGTATATCAGGATCCTAATTCTGTCCATGAGCTCAGATTTTGCAAACTGAATTACACCAAGATCACTTTCACACTTATAAATAGGGTTGCAGTCCCGGTTTGAAACCCAGAGCCGTAAGAATTAAGTATTTTTGTGGCCCAGATGTGCTGTACCCACCGTATGTCTGACGTATATGTATCACTATAACTAAACATTAGCTTCAAGAAAGATGCCAGAGAAGCTGCCGGATACATTAGCACGGACGATGATCATTGTACAACCAGGTATAACAAACTGTTGCATGACTGTGAACTAGTTTTATAGTATTAGCAGAAAAACTGCATAAGAAGAAAAAATTAGAAGAAAAACATAAATAGGGACTTATACACTTGCTTCTCAAAGGTGTTACTGACTTTCTTCCTTTAAATTTAAGATACTGCAATCTCTTTTAAACAAACACCTTTATCTGCTTCTGAAGCTTTCCATGACTGTATGCTTTGAGCATAAAGAGAAATACATCTGGAATTCTTACATTTGGCACTGAAAAGAAAAGCTGTTAGCGAGCCTCAGATATACAGTATGTATTTAATGCTACCTAACGGCACAAGAAGAAAGCCAACATTAAAGTCAATAAAAAAAGCTTACTCAAAATAATAAAACGGGGTATTTTTAAAGCTCTCTAAAGACAAGTTAGTACAGACTTTCACAAAACATACTAAAAACATCCTCAGTTAAGAAGAGCAGAACGTTTACATGCAGCAGTGAACGCTGGCATCTGTGCAATGACAGTAAGCTGAAAGATTATAAAACTTTCATAAATGTTAATTCCTTTGATGCATTTCTTCTCAAATGCAAATTATATGCGGTTTATCATCCCACCCAGTTAAATAAATCTAACACACTATTACCATCTAAATAACATGCAAAGACATTTTGACAAGGAATATATTAGTTTAACATTAAGCGTTTGAGAGAGAAATGGCGTTTTCAAAAATGAAGCACCCTACATCGCTCCCGTATTAGTCATCTTAACAGTACTACAGCACATTGCTATACAATCTGATTTGTTATTAAGAAGAGCTGTAGAGTAACCTTTTGTACAGATCTGTATGTAACAAATTCAGGAGACATTCTTATGCAGAGTACAACTAAACACAGCTCTCAATAAAATTTGTTAATAAAGCATATCCCGTGCTTAACTGAGGTGGCAAATTTATTTACTGGAGGAGAGTTTAACATAAAAAGCATACAGGTTTAATGCCATAGACAACAACAAACTATGGGTACCTATAAATAAGAGAATAAGCATTAGAAATTGGAACATACAAACAGTTTTAAACACACAACCCTACAGACTCCTTCCCTCCTCAGCTGCACTGTGTGGGAGTAAAATGGCCAACTCGGGATACACACCGACTCAGTCCTCCAGATTCAGAACTCAGACATCTGTTTTCTGATTGCCAGTAAGAGATAATTAGCAGCATGATCCTGGTTCATACAGTTCTACTACTGCTTTGTATTTAACCTCATGTACTCCATCCTACATGTGGGCTTAAATGTAAATTTATCTTTTTTATGTATAAACTTCAATAGGATTAATAAAATACCAACTACAGATAGATGATACCACTTGTCATAGAATGATAAGCAGCTTTAGGCAACATATATCTTTATTTTTCATCTCAATTGAAGTTACAACAAAAAAGTAATGTTAGATTAACATAATAGACTTTTAACATGCCTTTTACAAAATCGTGGCTGCAGCTGTTCCTTCATATAGCTCCCATTTTTGTACTTGTAATTATCCCTGTTCTATGCTAACAGGCTTCACATTTATTATGAAAAAATTCTTCTTTCATTACATGAAGGCCCAACTATTAAAGGCTACTTAACAGTTTGATTCTATCTACCATTTCCAATCCAGATTTCATCTTGTATGAAAATCTGATCAAAGATGAATATACATCAAATAGACATCTGACAAAGACAAGCAAGAAGCAATCACACCAAATGCAAAAAAGTGCCATTTAAAAATTCCACTCAGCTGGTTAAGTACCTCATGATGTACTAAAACTAGCAAAAAAAAACCAACCCAACCCCAAACTAAACCAAACAAAAAGCTTCACTTGTGAAATAAACATTACTTGTGCAGATAACCTTTGTAGGCTATTAAGGTGGGTAAGATCAAATAAGTACATTTTGGGAATCACTGGCACTTTTTGTAGACTCTTACTAGCTTATAATTAAATATAGTCACTTTAAGGTGCTTTTAGCCTTCATCTCCCAGCTAAGTCCATACAAAACACTGTTTTCTTCTAAAAAAAAAAATCTTGAAAAAAAATCTTGAAATGCACAATTCTACATTTCCAATTTTGCATGCCATTAAGTTGTTTGATTTTGCGTATCAAGGTTTTGCTTCACTTTGTCTTTCACAGCAGCATTTAAGTTATTTCCTACCAAAACAGCTACTGCTTGCAAGACATATGCACTGAAATAAATAAGCCACTGTTAAAGCAGCCCCATATGAAGTCCTTCAGGAACTCTCACCTGTTACAAGTATTAATACTTCCTGTCATGTGTTATGACCCTCGTTTCCTTTGTCCCATTGTTTCCAAAGTTTTTAATCTAATTACTAATGTCTGTAGCTTATGAGTTGCCAAATAACTGACTTTAAAATACTTTTCTTAAGTTCTTACTGGAACATACGTAAACTGCAACCACTGTAACTCAGAGTATTTTCAAATGCTTTTTATATCACCTCCTAGCCTTGTCTATCTGCTCATCCCATTCATTTCTATTAGTCACTTCTCATTTTGTTATGTGTTTCCTCAACCAGGATATTACTACTACTGGCTACTGACAGAAAACTGAAGTCCTTATAAAAAAACCCCATAATTCAAACAAAACCAAAGCTTTAAAAATTCTGCATAGATAGAGGAGCACTATATGAATAGCAGGCACTATATAAATCAGCAGGCAATTAATTAAAGTTATATTTACCTATTAATATCAGTTTCCTCAAAAATCCTTGTGAATTCATTGTGTTGAAAGATCTTATCTTCCACCTCTAAATTCTCTAATTTCACACCTCTAAAACTTAGCACACATTTTATTTAAAACTAAAATAAAAAATAGAGACTTCACTGATACACCAACCTTTTATCCCAATTTTATGTTAAACTGTAGAGCATCTTTTCACAAAGATAATTAGTACTGGAGAGTAGATCATTGGTGTATGTATGTACAAAATTTATTCCACTAAATTAATACAATCAGTTTTCAAACCCTGAAGTTTCTAAAGGACTTTGAACTGTTTAGACTGAAGCTATCTACTGTACAACATGATTAAGTAACCAAAATACTTTCAGTATAAGGACACTCCTTGGTCTTCCTAAAATTTGCAATACGTTAATAAACTTGCTAATTGCAAGGTCACAATTCAGGGAATCACACACTGAGCAAACAAGAAAAAACAATACCACAAACATTTTCAAGTAGCTCAAACTTTACCACAGATGAGTCACAACTGAAGAATGCAACTACGCAGAGAAAAACATTTAGAAACAAAATCACCTTAGAACTAGACTTGAATAACCCATAAACATTAGCAAAATTTCAAAAAATCATAATAAGCCTCCTGAACAAGTTTAAACAACTCCAACTCTGTTTCCCTGGATATGAGTTAAAGGTGCTCAACATATTTCTATACCCTGGTAGATTTCATCATCCTTTTCTTATATTAAAGCACCCAAATATCTCAACAAACTTTATGGATTAAAATACTTACAACAGAAATGTTCTGTTATTGATCTGAAGGTTCCTGATTAAGAAACAGTTCAAACCTCAAGCTAGAACGCAATACTTACTCTAACACTTCATAGTTGGACTTCTTTTCTAATGCATTGCCTCTCATCTCTCCGTAGGATCTCCTGAAGTCAGGAAAAAAATGTGAAAGCGACAATTATTGGATGATCCAGCCTAAAACTACAACATCAATGTAGTCAAATCTTTCAGACACCATTAGAACACATTGGCAGAGTGAATTAAAATACAAATCTTAGTACATTACTCTCCTACCTCAACAGATCAGATTTTTATTTTGCAAAATAATTTCACGTGTGGAACGTTGCATAGGACTACAGCAGTACTGCAGTTTCAGAACCACTTTAAACCGTCTTAACTACCCTGCTACCAAAAGAAGTGATCTAAACTGCCCTTCAGCAGGTCCTTTCTATCTCCCACAGTATCTCCTGCCCTTATAACAGCGCTTGTGTCTGTGCATGGAAACAGGGAGAACCAGAGGAGGCAGGGAGTGATGAAAAGTAACAGTTTCAATCCAGACATGTTCACATAGAAACACAAATAAATAAAGAGTAGCTGTTGTGGGGAGACAGCTGGGATCATTGTTTTCACTAAGAAAGTGGACCAGTAATGCTTGTGGTAAGATGGTCTTAGTAGCCACCTACTAGAACTATCTCATGAAACTGCCCTGAAGAGCCACAGCATGAGAACCATGGAAAGCAGGACTTGGCTGACAAAATAATCATGAATTATTATATATTACATGTTTTGAAATAAGGCACCAATCATTTTGTAAGCGCGTACAGAGTGTGCAATTACACAAAGAATTTTTGTTTTCTCTGGGGCTACCAGCAAAACTTAGAGCAAAGATACCAGATTCCCCTACGATACCTACAAATTTCATGAGCCTTAATTTTATTTAATTTTGGAAAATACTGTTCAAAGGATACTTTTATTCTCTGTTAACAAGTTTACATTTGCAACTAATTTCTTATCATTTTACTTCTTCCCTAAGATCCCTGTGTGAGACAACAGCATAACTAAAGCAAATGTTTCAGGCTGGAAATTCTCCATAAATTAGCAAAAATCAAAACATGCATTTCAAAAGCTGTGCTGGGAACTCTCTCAAGGATCTCTTAATCTGATAAATTTATCTTTATTTTCCAGCTGTCTGTACAGTTGACAAGAACACCAAAAACACCCGAAGAATCCTTAAGGCTTAATCATTTGAAAATTGTACATTAAAAATTAAGCAAACACAGAGAGAAAAGGTAGCAGCATTTATCTTTGATTACATTCTTTAGGATTTGTATATGCACAGTGACAAGAGTATTTGATAAGTAACACCACAGATGCATTTTTTTGAAGTATACTTTACTGTATTCTACGGGCCTTTGAATTATTCAGATGAAGAATTAATCCATAAGGCAGTATCAAGATGTACTTAATTAAAATATTAAAATTAATGTTAATTTTAAAATAATTTGAAATTGTTTACAATACAGTCTATTCCATTTTTCTTCAAATTAATTTGTAGCAAAAAAGTCTTAGGATGTTTTATTCAACCATACTGGTCAGAAATCGATGAAATATAAGCAGTTTCAAAATTAATGTATATATGCTGTCAGAAAAATGATGAATAATAAATGAAATTATCAGCTTACCGGATTTCAAGGCAACCTAGTTTCAAAGCAATTTCCTGGTCCACTTGATCTGCTATTTCTAACATATAGTCATTTTTCACCTACAGCAAAAGAAGCAGGTATGCATCACAGAAAGATCAGTTCAGCTCCAATACAGACTAAAATGCTGCCCAATCAACTTTAGAATAAATACGTCTTAAGTTTAATTATTTGGAATGCCTATTTGCAGTGCATGAAGAGAAAAAAGAAATTACGTTCATATTCTCCACAAATGAGTTGCATTTTTGTAAGAAACCCTTTTGAAAGCAATGAATTGATTTAAAAATTCCTTATTTACACCAATACTACCTGTGTTTTATTAAATATAATAAAAATCTTCACAGGAGCCTGAGCAGATGGTTGCACCTGCATTCAAGATATGTGAACACACACTGTATGCTTGAACCATCCTGGTCAACAGTTTTTAATTTTGTATGTGCATCTCATCAGGCATATAAACCAGACAAATGTATGTGTATTGCTGTGAAAATAAAAATAGTGGTAAGTAAAGTGTAGTATGTGAAAATCATCTTACATCCTAACTTAATGTTTGAACTAGCAACAAGAAGAAACAAGAGTGAAACTAGATGGCTACCATCTACAGTAGGACACAAAATAGACCAAGGAGTGTGCTCCGACCTGGAGGAGGTCAAATGGTAATCCCTCCTGAAAAGGATGGTTAGGCCAAACCAGCACATCGGGACCCCGGTCGCGCTGGGGCACAGTCTACAAGAGCAGTAATGCGGCATGTGCAAAAGCCGGACCACAGAGCACACTGAGTACTCAACAAGGCGGACTGCGGTGGGCCAAAGCTTCATCACGTGTCCAGGACTTGCTTTATTTATTAACAATGATGTAGGCACAAAGTTTATTTTGTAAGTAATACTTTCACCACATTGGAGTAAGCACTTTATACAGTTACTAACAACAACAACAAAAAAGACAGTAAGAGAGAACAAAACTACTGCTGAAGAACTTAACTCTGCAAGTCCTCTCTTCCGTGCAACAGGCATTTTTTACCAGTAGCATATCTCTACAGAAGTACAACTTGTCTTTAATGGCTCATGTTATCCTCTATCTCATGAAATCATAAACTTGCTATTGAGATCCTAAAGCCTAAGAAAGCCCAAAGTTGCAGAAAGTCCTGAAATATCACAAAAATCCACAACTGACTTGCAGATCAAAAAGATTATATACTATGAAAGCAATACACTTCACAAAATGGTTTTTTGAGCGATGACAAGCTGCAAGAAAAACTATTTCATACTGCTACCACTATGAAATCCATAATTTAAAAGATAAGGAATTACAGCAGCAGATTCAACAGCTGGAGGTTCTCTCCAGTCAGCATCCTCCCAGTAACACACGAGCATGCATCACAGCATTCTCTCACCACCAGTGTGACAGCTGGATCCAGCCCTAGACTACAAAGCAACAAATACGTAAGACCTTCGTAGTTATGAAGTGCCAGAAAAATTTTGTTATTGAAGGATGTGAAAGAGTGAAAATATAAATTACTACAATAGCTGCAACACCAGGAGAAAGCTTCTTGCATTTTAACTCAAACAGGTGCTGAACATGACAAAACAATAAGCTTTTACATCTTCTCAATTCAACTCCTACAAATACTAATGAGAGACACGGAAGAAATAATTGTCCTTCAGCATCATGTAGTTTGCTATTTGCATACACATATAGAAATACTCATTCTGTATTCCCATGGTAGTAATACACAAAGTCTGTAGAATTAATAACTGTCTTTTTCTTCATTATGCTTACCATTTAAAAAAAACCCCACAACACCTTGTTATGTGAAACAGCTTTCTAATGGAGTTTTTTTGGTAACATTTACAAAGATTTACATGATTAAAGGTTAAAAAAAAAAGTCCCACCCTCAACAGCACAGACTCTATATATCTGGTAATTACAATGGCTGTAAGTGATATAAACTGAGAGAGAGATGAATCTTCCAGGAAGTCAAGTTGTTCTGATTCTGTATTTTCATTCAAAACCATGAAGGTCCCACAGTGGAGAGTCATATATGCATTAGCCAAATAAAGAGTCACTGATGTAATGGATGAAACATCTTCTAATTTATGAAATCAGATACAAACAACCCTGTATAAATTAGAGAGAACTGTCAGTTATACGACCACACATACCATGTATCTACAATACATATGTGTGGGGTTTGTGTGAGGGGCAGGGTTTTTGGGTCAAACCATGACAAAGTATCGTGGATATGGATCAATGAGCCGAGGCCCATTGTATCGGACTGAACAAGGCGAACTGCCAGGTCCTGCTCTTGGGTCACAGCAACCCCACACAACGCTGCAGGCTTGGGGAAGGGGAGCTGGAAAGCTGCCTGGAAGAAAAGGACCTGGGTGTACTGGTCAACAGCTGCCTCAGTATGAGCCAGCGGTGTGCCCAGGTGGCCAAGAAGGCCAACAGCATCCTGGCTTGTGTCAGCAATAGTGTGGCCAGCAGGATTAGGGAACTGATTGTCCCCCTGTACTCGGCACTGGTGAGGCTGCACCTCAAATACTTGTTTGGTTTTGGGCCCCTCACTACAAGAAAGACATTGAGGTGCTGGAGCGAGTCCAGAGAAGAGCAGTGAAGCTGGTGAAGGGTCTGGAGGGCAACTCTTACGAGGAATGGCTGAGGGAATTGGGATTGTTTAGCCTGAAGAAAAGGAGGCTGAGGGGAAACCTTGTGCTCTCTACAACTACCTGAAAGGAGGTTATAGCGAGGAGGGGGTCAGTCTCTTCTCTCAAGTAACAAGGGGAAATGGCCTCAAGTTGCATCATGAGAGGTTTATATTGGATATTAGGAAAACATTCTTTGCTGAAAGGGCTGTCAAGCACTGGAACAGGTTGCCCAGAGAAGTGGGTGAGTCACCATCTCTCCAGGTACTTAAAAGACATGTAGATCTGGGTGATTAGGGATAAGGTTTAGTGGTGGACTTGTCAGTGTTAGGTTAAGAGTTGGACTTGATGTTCTTAAAGGTCTTTTCCAACCTAAGTGAAATGATCATGTTATCTATTTATTTATAAGATACAGCAGATTCCATTCCATTAATCTGAAAGACTCTGCAAAGAAAGCACTACATAAATATTTTCTCCAGGAGAAGTTTAAGGTCCTATTCTTCAGCATCAGGTGTAAAACACTGCCTAATGTTATAAAGTGACGGAAGAGTTCTCCCATCTGAATCATCCAGAACTACACAGGGAAGGAACCTCTCAAGGTCATCTGGTCAAATGGCCCTGCTCAAGCAGGACCACCTAGAGTCAGCTGCCCAGGATCATGTCTTTTGAGTATCTCTAACCTTGGAGGCTCCACAACCTCTCAGGGCAACCTATGCCAGTGTTCAGTCACTCCTACAGTAAAAAAAAAATGTTTCCTGATGTCCAGAAGAAACCTCCTGTGGTTTCAGTTTGTGCTCATTGCCTCTTGTCCTGTCACTGGGCACCAGTGCAAAGAGCTTGGCTCCTTCCTTGTCGTGGGTTTGAGTGTCAGTTTTTGGTAGCAGGGAAGGGACTACAGAGGTGGTGCCCTGTGAGAAGCTTTTTGAAGCTCTCCCAGCTCCAAGCTGGACCCGCCTTTGCACCAAGGCTGAGCCAATTAGCTGCACCTCTGTGATAACATATTTAAGAAGGGGAACCTGGGAGAAGGAGTTAGGAGTTGTGAGGAGGAATTGAAAGAACATCTGTGTCAACACCGAGGTCGGTGCAAGAAAGAAGAAGGTGGGGGAGGTGTGCTGGTGCACCCTCCCCTGCAGCCCATGGTGGGGCCCCCTGCCACCCGTGGAGGTCTATGGTGGAGCAGATGCCAACCTGCGGAGGAGCCCACACCAGAGCATGTGACTGTGCCCGAAGAAGGCCAGCACCCTGTGGGAAGAAGCCCCTGCTGTTCCAGTTCAGTGCTGGGAGGACTACAATACGTGGGGGTGTCCCACGCCGGAACAGCTCAGGAAGGGCTGAGACCCGTGGGAGAGACTCATGTCAGAGAAGGTTTGTGGAGGACTGCCTCCTGTGAGAAGGGGACCATGCTGGAGCAGGGGGAGAATGTCAGAAGTTGCCCCCACCCAGAGGTGGAATAAGAGACAGGACTGACTGCATTCCCCATTCCCTCCCCCCTGCACTGCTTGGGGGGAGGAAGTAAAGAAATCAGGAGCAGAGCTGACCCCCAGAAGAAGGGAGGGGTGGAGGATAAGGTGTTTTGAAGATGTGGCAATGTTTCTCACTGTCCCACCTTGTCTGTTAAGTGTTGTCTTTGTTAGTGTTTGAATTAAAGTGATGGGGTTTTCTTCTTCCCCTAAAGAGTCTGTCTTTTGCTCAAGATCATAATGCATGAGTCACCTCTCCCTGTCCTTAGCTCAATTCCCAAGCCTTTTGCTCAAATTCTCCTTCCCAGCGCTGGGGGTGGGGGGAAGAGGGCGTGAGCAGCTGTGTGGTGCTCAGTTGCCCTCTGAGCTCAAACCAACAACAGTGCTCTTTGCCCTCTCCCATCAGGTATTTACATACATTGATGAGATCCCCCATGAGCCTCCTCTTCTCCTGGCTGAACAGTTCCAGCCCTCTGAGCCTTTCCTCAAAGGAGAGATGCTCCAGACCCTTTACCATTTTCATGGCCATTCACTGGAATCTGCAGAAGCTTGATCTCTCTTGTACTCAAAGTCATTATGACTCCTGGAGGCATTTTCAAGAAACTTGGCAAACCCGAAGCTTGGGCATTTCTGACTTGTCTGAACTGCTCAGTGTCATTAAGTGCCAAAATGGGAAGAAGTTTCCCTGGAAAGGACACTTCTGAAATCAAAACAAAAAATGCAAATATTCTGAGTAGTATCTTATCTCAACTAGCGTCCATTTACAGTTCCTCTTCATCCTACTGCAGAACTGCACCTGTTAGTAATGGTACAGTATTCCTCTGAGAGAAAATATTCTATAACCAATGTTTTAACCTTAAATCAGAACTACCATCTAGATGCCTTCATAAACAGCACAATGTAATAACTTAAACAGAAAATTAAATCTGAAATTCTTTTCATCAGTAAGGATATGAA